ACAAAATATGCCATGTACAAATACTGATGAGAGTATGACGAATCGGAGTATTGCAATTCATGTAGCGGAATGAAACAATTTGTTGTAACAATTTGTCTTACGATTTCCGGAACTTGCGCATACTATCAAAACGTCTAGTTGCAATTGCCAAAAATTCTAAGGCTCATACGTAATATAAATTTCATTAGGCTGCATAGTACTTTAATTTCAAAGCCAATTTCTTATTGCATTGATGTAATATAAAGGCTGACCACATGAAAGTAACCGCACTGAGCATTCCGCATATAGCTTTCTCTGAGTGCCCATCAGATGAATGTATTGTACCGTCGCATCGAGTGGCTGGAGTATTAATCGCGTCTGATATTAAGTAATGCTTTGCGGTAGTCCTAGAAATAACTTAATTATTAATTCCCATTAAAAGCTATTGTAAATTGTCGGAGAAAATAAACCTTTTACAGTGTTGTGTGCGTAGGTAATTAAAATTCAATCCTGTTGGTGCGTTGTTGATAGTTTAGTCAAAAATAGTTCAATTGAAAAATTATAAAGAATAAAAAGAACAAATTCAAGTATAAAAAAAAAATTATTATTGTCTATATTAAATAATCAAATCAGATCCTCAGCGATAAAATGAAAAATTTTGTTTTGTTAACGTTAAATAATAATTTCAATTCATGAGGTGATTAAGACGTGAACTTTCAAATGAATAATTTTATCATATTTCTAGTAGAAATATCACCTTTACACTTTTGGTAGGATACACTGTCGTCGTAATGATAGTTACATCGTTGTGTCCCATAACGTGACATAAGGTTACATTGTAACGGGAGCAAGCGAACGAGAGGTAACAGATGGTGTGTCAAGGACACCTATGCGTCACACACGACAAAATACTTCCCTGACATCAAGAAACGAGAGCATTTATTATTAATTCGTGAATTATTTAATTATCAGCATATCAAGAAATTGCAAATTATATAGCACATAGGTATTCATTCCGTTTTAAAAATATTTATATGTAACATCGACAATAAGTGATTTTAATCACGAAAATAACCCATTTTTTAATTAATATAATCTATTGTATAATAACAACTATAGCGACAATGATACTGGAAGTAAAATTTTCACTTGGACGGTTCATTTTATTTTTCCCACGTGTTTTCAATTTCAAAGCTTGTTATCACGATTGCGAAAGATAAATATCAAGAAAAACACTTGTTATTTACATTAAACAAAGAAAGTGAACACTAATTAGCTATTTTGCTATATTCTTTGCCTTTAAGATAAGATTATAAATGTGAATGTGAGTACTTTTTTATATCAGCATGTATTTGGGCTAATTTTGTAGATGCATATTTGACATACAAAGACTATTTATATATATAGAGTAGACACTTAGAATTAACGTTCACAACTGTTGTGATGTCTTAAAACAGCCCGAACTATTTCAGCTAAGTATAACTGATTACATTACATAATGCAATACACTTAATTCTATTATAAACTTTCAGCTTCATCGGAAGTGTAATAATTCGTTTTATTTAAAAGCTTCAGCATTAAGTAATGTTTGTTTAATGATTTCGTCACTGTTTCCGATGAAACACGAATATATGGCGTAGAAATTTAACTTCTCAAATAGGTTAGCAGTAAAACATCGTAAAATAATCGTATCTCTGCATATTGTAGATGAAAAGATATATTATCTACTTCCAGGCAACAAAGAAACAATATATGGGTAAACATATTTGTCTGAAAACTTAACTACTGGATCCGACAGGACTCTCTTATACACTTATATTTACTTTGTCTCGGCTATCTGGCCCGAATACTGTTGTAAGTAAAATTTTACAACCTAAAATAGTTTATAATAAAATATTTGTGTAATGTAAGAGTTACGGATTTAAAAAGATGTTTAGGAAAACATGGGTTGTCATTTTTAGATGACATTCAATCACGTAAATAATTCATTACTAACACATGTGAATAAATTGGTCACAGTATGTGTGAAGTTCAAATCATGATTTTGGTCACATTTGATTCTTTACTATAAGTACCTAATATCTATGCCTAATTAAAACATAAAACTGTATGGGTATAGACACAATTAGGAGTAATCCCGGTTTAAAAACTTCAATCAGTGGTTCAAATTTAGCAATGGTAATGTCGATTTTTAGACCACAAACTATCATTTAAGGTAAAGAAGCTTGAATGTGGAATTTACTCTGCAATTAATTATGGCTTCAGAGTTCGCAATGATCATTTCGATGATCTCTGACCACATACCATCATTTAAGGTAAGGACGCCTTAATAGGGAATTCACTCTGCAACTGTGAACTAACCAAGGACCAACAAATCAAAAACACATCAATTACTTAGACGAGATGTAGATTAATACTGGCGATGCGGTAAATTTAACAACCTCTGCAACCTTCAGAGACCAGGCGATACAAATTTATGTTGTTGCAAAACTACTATATAGACATCTAAGACAAGGCTCACGCCTTATATGAGAATGGTGGGCGGAAGCATTCTACAGAAGTAACACTACAATAATGTGTCGCAACATGTTTTGATTATAACGAACTCTATTAAGAACTGGTATGCCAGTCTGTTTAGTTCTATCTGTATACGTGAGAATTCCATCCATATATATACAACGATTGATGTTTCCTATATCAGTAATTTCTTATTTCCCGATTCTGTAATAAAAATAGTCTCTTGTAGAAAGCTGAGTTCCAAATTAACAAACCAAGTGATTTCTCATTTCCTCTCCTTTTGGTGTATTAAATGCAATTATATAATACATGTATAATGTATAAAGAGATTGTGCGAATTTCAAGACTTTGTAGGTATGCGTAATGGGTATCTAATTGTAAATTTCTTTCACTTTAAAAGGCATAATTGTATTTGGATAAAAATAAAAGTAATTTTATTAATTATATTTTTGTCATGGATATTATATTTTCCGATATTGTTCATACCGGTGAAATCAGAACCGTCTGCACTTAGGCTATAAACTAACAACTATTACCAGTTACAAATAGCTAGGTTTCATAAGATAAAATTCCACCGATGTCCGATATAGAATTCTCGCTCAAAAACCGGTTTCAAATTCTGCGATACCAATTATGTAATTCGAAACGATCAATTCAACGTTTAACTATGTCGGTAGAATCTGGGAGTGGGAATTAGATAGAAACCCATTATTCGGTTCTTAGGCAATAAATAGGGACGCCTGTTCGACCTGTCTATTGAGAACAATACGCAACTAAATTCCTCTATTGGATAAATGTGTGCGTACGAAAGATAACGGGGTATTTAAATTCTTTTTACAACTACACGAACGCCAATGAGTGGGAATGGAAACCTAGTTAAACAATCGCACAGAGTAACTCTCCATGACTATTTGCACCACAAAGAACGGGTGCGTAGTGAACTGCTGGTGGAGTTTTCACTACCGTACCGATCAATTTTACGATTTTTAAACGACGTTGAAAATAGTGCAAATAAAAGTTTTTATTAACTAAACAAGTATTAGGAGTACAAGCCACAAACATTGTTTAACTGTATGAAAGAGCTTTTCCAAAGAAATACGTCAGAGATCAAAAAACTTCTATTGACTATTTAGTTTCGAAGCATTTTTAACAGACTTAAAAAGTAGTAGGATCAGAATTTTAGGTTTGAAGTAAAAGGAGAAATTAATCATAGCCTACTTTGTACGAAGTTCACGTTATGGTGAATCACCACTTACTGAGGAATTGCTGGCGCGTTGTCATCTTATGCAGAGTTTAAGCATTCGTTTGTAATATGTGTTAACGTTAAATTATCTTTATTAGAAACTTGGTGCCACTGAACAAATAGAACAAGAGTATAAAAATGAATTCGTGACATCAAACTCGACTCGCACCAAATTAATTTGGCAGGGTAAAAAGCGAGTAAGCGCTAGACTGATCTGGGTCGGTAACCACACTAGAGTGCGCTCCTTTCGCGGCTGGTAGCCAACGAGCCGTGATCCTCTACGACCAGATACGGTCTGATGATCTAACCTTGTATCTATCCCGTACGTTTCAAAGGCACCAGGATGATATCACCAAGGAAATATTGTAATATGCCATATGAGCCGTGAGGCCAAGGCCGGAATTTCGATCGATGCTAATAACAGCGGAATAGTAAAAAGGAAAGTTAGGTTAATGACCCTAGGTGGACGGTTAGTACACTGATGGATTCGTTCGGATTCTTTTTTTAGCAACCGGAACCTGAGACAGCGTACTAATTTGAAATTTTTCGGTTATATGTATATAAATAAAGCCATTTATTACCTGTAATATAACAAAGAGAATTTGTGTTTTTTTTTTATTTCAGAATATGAAACTGATCTCTACGATGGTAGGTACTTATTATTAGCAAAAATTATAACATGTCACGGGGTTTTGAGTTAGAAATCGATAATACTACTTTCTAATTGTCTTTGTATTCAAGAGCCTCCTTGTGGATTAGTTGATTACACATTGCCTCCTTATGGAATGTAGGGTTTGATGTATTCGCATTATGTGACGACCTTCGGTATTCTCATTAGTGCAAGCTTTGCTTAGTTGTGGTTGTCAAGGATTATTTACTATTATTTTTTATAGACGGACTAAATGATTTCTAAAATATTTATTTCCTCTAGACATAGTTTATATACCCACTAATAGTCATAGTGGGTATATAAACTATGCTCCTAGTTAGTTACTATCAAGATAGATAAAACATAACTTAATCATTTAACAGAACAGATATGATCGAACCACTTCATTTAATCATTACATTGTAAATTATTATTTCACAAACTCGTCCAACAAATCGCGTCACTGCATCCATTTACAATTCATAACGGGCACACCTAACGATAAAGAGCCATCGGTAAACAAGTCATTACCGTCGACATTCCTAACGGATAGCGTTATCACCCATTGTGGATACGGTCAGCTGTCAAATCTGAAGTTGAGCATCAGCTTACCGATACAGCGACAGACGTGGTGGGCACCACGCCCGCTTCCCCCATTTCGTGTTGGCCTTCAGGTACGCTAAGGAAGCGGCGTAGAGTGCCGTATCCAGACGCAGAAGCAACCATCGCTACCATAGTTCACTACACTACACAGTATCCACTGGAGCTGGTGACATCACTGGCGCGGGCGTGTTTAATGCGAGTTCTGCGATGCGCGCGCGGCGTGCTGCGCGCCTCACGCGTTCATACTGTCGGAGAAGCCTCGATCTAGCCGCGGCCCCCTACCAAGATCCGTTCAAACCCAACGCGAACTTGAGATAAGCGTGTTAGCTTTATACTTCCGTAGCACACTCGGTCTACGCGATTGTACATTACGATGTATGAATGAAAACCTATCATTGACTAAATGGTGCTAATAATTTAGGTATATCAGTAATTGTAGAACATATTATTCACAAGTTGTGTTACTTTAGAAGTTTCCAAAAATGATTCATGCTGTGACATTAAAATATATCATTTTTAGGCATGATGTTATTGTGAATATTAATATTGTATCATAGCACAAATATAAATTTGCATTTCATTGCAGTATGATGGATACTGACTTTCCCCCTTTTATGGAAAGTCAGCAACCATCATACTGCATATTTATGGAAATAGACTTTGTAAAAAGTTGCCAATGTGGATAACTTGTACTTCATTCATTTGCTTTGTAAGTTGTATCAGTTAAAGATTGAGAAGAATTAATTTCACCCTATTAGCTAATATTAGTTCTGCAGAATGTTATAGCATGAGGATACCTCATTGCCATGTCATGGTACTGTTTATGTATGTTCTATTTGCTATTCCAGCTACATAAAAAAATGTATTAGCATATGAACATTGCCAAGCTACATGGTATTATTTTGTGTTTTATTTGTCTAAACTTGCACAATATTATCTTCTAGTACTCCTTTACATATTGAGGATTTAATGTAGTGGTGACTTATGAATTTTTACTCTTTTACTGCATGTTTAAACAGAATAATTAGGAATAGCATGTTGACTGTATAAATATAAAAAAAAACAACATTAAAATCAGAGAGAATTGTATATCATATATATTCTTGTGCCAACTAAACTGTGGTATTATTTGAAGAGCACAATTTGGGTTTTGGTAAACTAAAAACATAACTTAGGCTATATCATTAATAGCCATTAGACAAATATGATGATTTGTTAACTATCAATAATCAAGAGTTACTCTCAGATTAATCCTTTTATTAGTAATAAATATTTTTTTTAGAAACACAGTTGTCAATACCTAAGTAATTTTAACATAAAATAATTGCAAGTTATAGATACTGAAGAAAAAATCTAGCAAAAGAATAAACTAGTCAGAATTGGCTGTAGTTAAAATAATCACTAAATAAATTTTCCATTTAAAAAACATTAGGGAGAATATTATGAAAAATAGTTTATGCTAGTGAAATAGCAATAATCATGGTCTATATAGGTATCAATAGATAAAAAGATGAATTTATTTTATAGATTGTAATTTTAATAAAAACAACATGTCATGATTGTTTACTAAACATGATGATTGTCTGTGGAATGTGTAATCTGAGTGCATCACGATCTGAACACATTGACTTATATATTTATTTAATATTCAATAACTGAAAACTTTCCTGATTATGACAATTAAGGAAACAAAGATATTGATTTTTTTTATTAAATAGATATACTTATTGCATTATTATAGAGGGAATTTAGCATTATATAATAAAATATTTCTAAATAGGTTTGAACAAAAGGAACAATCACATCACATCTGATATGACATATATGGGACATGACAATGTTCTAATACAAATAATTTATTCATCAACGGTGTGGGCTGAGGCCAACTTCGCCCACTGCCTACCTTGGTTTGTTTTATATCATTCAAAAGGTTATTTCATATTACTTATTTAATTGTTGAGAACCACACAAGTCATCATAGACAACAATTCAAACTGCTTTATTTACTAACAAATAACAATTATGAATAATTCTTGCATAAAAAGTAGACATGAAATATGTAAAGGAAATGCCATTAAACTTTAAATACACAAGGCGCTGGAGTACAAAAAGGCCAATTTCACATTTACTCGTATTGCCTTGGTGTTCAACAACCGGCAATTAAATGTCGAATTGAACTCACCTGTTTAGTCTCTGCGAAGTCTGCGGACTCCATGTTGGCATGTGATCGCTCCTGCCTCTCCATAACTTAGAAAACATCAGAATCGTCTGAAGCGAGGTATTGTAAATGTGTAGAATACAAGCTTAAACATAACAACCGCGATGGACTTCACAATTTCCAACGAAACAATGTCAGTGGTCCCACCAACTCGTTCAACACAAAATTCGTTACACCAATAAAAATGTAAGAAAATAAACGTGTTCACAGAAATAGGTGCATTCTGTATAATTTGATAAAGTAATAATGCTGTAATCGCGAATTACATAGATATGACTCGAAAAACACAGTTGATCACCATCTTAAAAATTTTACACATTCCGTCATCGCGGCCAACTGACGGTCGCTGCCCTACAAAATGTTCCTATTCACGCACTTATTTATAATGTCATTTAAAGTAGCGAAGTCGTTTTTGGATTTGAAAATTATATATCATTATAAAATATAGTTATTATATTTAAGACTACAAATTTTCAATAAAACATACAAATTATTTTTCTTTGTTGTATTTCTTCACATTGAAACATTATTAAAGCGTAGTGGAATTGGATGAAATGAAACTCCTCTAAGTTGGAATTTAAGGTTACTTTAAATTAGAACAAAATAAATTTAGATTAAGACCTAAATCTTGTTCTTATTAAAGTAGATTTGGTTATATATTTTTAGATAGCTCTTTTACAATTTGGTTCGTAGCTTCTATGATAGTGCGTACATATTTTACTTTATTGACAGTGATTACTTGCTCACGGCTCGGAGCATAGATTAATTTTACTCCTTTTAAATAATAAATATCACAGACAACAGATTACGGTAGATAAATGTCACAGCACAGAGTAGTTTAAATATTTTAGTTTGCGTTCGACTTATTAATCGTTTCCAGTTTTAAATAAAATAATCTAACAAATTGTAGTTAATTTGTTTGGAAGCATAAAAATAATTTAATGACAAATCCAAATATTGTGTGAATTAAAAGAAAACTTTATAATACGTATGTAAAAGTCACTGTGGTATGTATACAAAATAAATATGCAATCAAAAGTGACTTATTTTTATTTCTTGTAACGCATTTAATGTAATGTAATGTAATATATTATAAATAATTAAAATTCTTTTTATAATTGAATTTGGTATCAGATGCCCCGTGAAAGAAGTCGATATCGTGATCGGCGCAGTTCTTCGTACAGCTCAGTGTCTTCTCACGAACGGAAGAAATCAAAAAGTAAATACAAAAGAAGATCTCGATCTCGAGACCGTTCAGAATCTAGCAGTCAAAAACGAAAGCGATCAAGTTCTAGATCTAGACCGAAAAGAAGAAGCTATTCTAGGAGTTTATCAAAAGAAAGGTATGACACGAAAATAAGAAGACGATCTACCTCACGCTCGAGAACGAAGCGTTCACGGCGGTCACCGTCAAGAGACCGTTCGCGATCTAGATCCAGTACTCGGAGTAGATCAAAATACAATAAAAGTAAAAAGTCATCAAAGAGATCTAGATCTTCAAGCAGTCGCTCCAGTTCTTTCGATATAGGTAAATACTAATACCACAACTAATAATTTCATAAGATATTCATCATGATAACAATATTTTGATACTGTTACAAGTATCCTATATCATAGGTTCATTGACAGCAGTTTATATTTATTATTAAATAGGTTCTAGGATGTTATTGTTGGGTTTTAGTTTTAAAACTTGTATTAAATTTAAGTTTATAGATAATAGAATTTGAATTTTGTAACTAAATAGTTGAATGAGAATGGTTTTGCATTATTATCTGCTGATGTCTTTCTAGTTTTTTTATGACTATATTTGGTCAGAATATTAGTTATGTTTATTTAGTATGGTATAGCTCTATATCTATAATTATGTTTTTGGTGAAGTAGAAGAGTGCAGTATCATGAATAACAACTGACTATTGTATGATGACTGACAACAATGTATTTCAATAGACAATTATTATAATTTCAGAGAGTATTTCACATTCAAGGAAAGTGAATCTTGATGACACTGATGTGAAAATTGAAAAATCCATTAAAGCAGCTGAGGCGGCTGGGTTGACTATGACTAAGATACCAACATATGAATACAAAGAGGTTGCCATAAAAGAGGACATGCCAACAATCCACGATAGAAACTTGTTAGCAGAACTGAACAGTGACTCATTTGTTCAGAAGTCATTCACTTCATCAAGAAACAAGAAACAAACTCAGAATATTGTCATTGATTTGAATTCACAGACTGTCACAGTACCTGATTCTGATGTCAAGGTGCAAAAAGATGATTCTATTATAAATTTTGATGTAAGTAACAAACAAAATATAAGTTTAATCTCATACCATGACCATGACATAACACAACTGATCTGTTCTGACCGTAGTTATAGAGCTGAGAAATACTGGCCACTTTAGGACTTATGAGCCACACCACATCTTTCCTATTTAAATTTCTGTAATATACTTCTTGGAGCAAATGTTTCTTGATCATTTTGTATAAAAGTTTTTTTTTCTTTACTGTAAAATAAGGTGATTCATTAAAAGTTGGATAGATAATAAATTGTTAGGAATAGCTGTCATGTTAATCTGCTACTGCCATAATTTTGATTGATACTGAATAATGACTGTCCTAACATTACAGAGTATAATATATCATTATAACAGGATTTGTGGTGCTTCCACAAACAAAATATGGATTTTTGATTTTTAATTTGCTACTTATACATACAGATGTTGTCCATGCTTTTGAAATAGAATAAAATTAAGACAACACAGAGGGACAGCATTCCAATTTCTAAGAATGGTAAAACTAGCTTTAATTTCGTTTTATATAATTCTGATTAATGTTTACTCTTTTTTTTTGTCCCATTATTTTGTGTTTTATTTATTCTTGTCTAATAAATTTATATTAATAGTAATGTAAATTATTTCAGGAGCTTCCAAGTGAGGAAGAACTAAAAGAAATGTGGATAAAGAAACTTTACCTGTTTAGAAAAAAGATGCTGAGGGGTGATATATGAAATAAATTATATGAATACATTATTTATCATTTTATTGTTGAAAAATTGGAAAGGAACTGTTTTGACTGGTTATTAGGAAGGATTAATTAAAAGAAACACATTCATTGAAAATTTATAAAATTGTGTCCATAACCTGTGTAAGCTTAATAAGTCATATTATGGAGTCCAAAATTATCTACACCCTAATAAGCTAAAGTAACCTAAAATCGAATTAGTTTAAAACAGTATTATATTTCTTTTTCTATAAGTAGCAATGTTGTGTAAAGAATTGTCATGGAATGTTCATTTACATATTCTTTAAAAAATAATATGGTAGATTATGAATGATAAGTATTATATTTATATGTGAATGAAATTTCTACTTTCCTATAACCTTTTCATTATTTGCTTACATGATCTATGGACATCAAATCAATCATGTGTTTCATTAATGATGTGACATTGAGATTTTTACAATAGATAAAAAACAATAACAACCTAAAACAATTTTATTTAACACATGAACATAACAACAGGCAGCCACAACTCACAATTTAAAACATGCTCTGAGTCTACAAAGTTCTATATGTACAGTACTGCAATAACTTGAGAGATTCCTCTTGTAACCGAGGTGGACCTCACATATTAGTTCTTTCGCGCTGGATACGACTGCTATATGTCCGAGATACCAGATTCCAAGCGTCCATATATCTGTCCATGCACATCGCAATACATTTCTGTTCTGAATTATCTAATGCCGTGCCAGGTTTATTGATGCATTTCTTGAAACATTTCTCTGACATTTTCGTAAGGAGTTCCTGAGCGTTTGCAATAGCAATTTGCTGCTTCACTTGATCCATCAACTCCTCTTTTTGAACTCCACTCAAAGAACCCGTAGATAATGAATCCATTTTAATATATACTTTAAGTGAACAATAATATCACAAGTTTTTGGTATCTGACAAATTGAAGTAACCTCAAAATTCGCGACCTATTTTTTTATTTTTTTTTTATTTTCAAATAGCCCAAGCTAAGGTCAGATATCATGCTGCCTAATCTTATATTGTTTATAAGAGTCCGTGGTTTCTGTGAATTATTTTAGAACATTAATAGAATATGATTTTAGTACCATTTGCTTGAAACCTGAATGTTTTTTTAATTATATTGATTAACTCTATAATACCATGGCGCCATCTACTCCATGGCCATATAAGTTATTAGACGGTCTGTGTGAGAGTAAGTGTGATCTGTGCTTGCTTTAACGTTTATTTATTTTTAAGTTTTTTTTTTATCTGTAAATCTGTGTTTTGTTTGTTTACTTTGTTGTTCAAAAATATAGTATATTGTGTTTTTGTAAATTCCATTATATCGAATTTTCCAATAAGTACCGAAACATTAAAATAACTTTTACTCATCTGAATCATAAACTAATTATTTTATACTGCAACTTTGTATTGGCTAATAACAGACATCGGCACTGTAACCTAAAATGATAAATTTTAATCGTAAATTCAGCTTACTTTAAAAATGGAACAACCTGGCGAATTAGCTAATACTTTGAGTCATGACGACTTAATTGAAATCACGAAGTCTTCCCTCTGTACATTGATAAATTCTGATTCATTACTATCAGATCTTCCCCCTGATGTCATTCTTGAAGAAGTCATTGCACAGGTACCATTTGCTATGAATATTATTATAATGATATTATAACTTTAATAGTCATTTTTATGTCTAATACTATTTGAATTATTTCATAATAAATCAAATTTAGTAAGCAGTTGTATAATTTCACTGATAATCATATTGGATGCATTTCATGTTTGGGTAAAAAATGTACTGATGCAAAATTATGCATTCTGCATTATGGTATATAGATTTGTAAATAAAACAAATTTATTTCGTGCGTGCGTGTAATATTGACACAATTATACTTTTATGATACAAACATTTGTTTGTATCATAAAAGTAGGATGGTATGCTAAACCACTAGACCAACACCAGATATTTTATGGGTACATATTTTTTTTTATAACTAAGCACTTCAAAGAGTTTAAATGATTACTCTACAACTTATAATTCTTGTTATTGCAGATAGCTGTTGAATTTGGGCAATCCATAACAGTTTTTATATCAAGAGATGATGAACCAGTTTTAAAAGTTATAGTAAGTTATTTTTTATTTTATTTTATAAAGATTTGGTAACTACTTGCAGATTCTGCATAAGCTTATTACTGCTTAACAAATATGGTCACCAGTGCGTTATTCTAGATAGATGTAAATAAATATTATTAAAAGGTTGCAATTTTAAGGAAGGTGTAACATATGAATGGTCAGAGGAATGCTGAAAAAGAGATGGATGAACTGTATGAAAGATAATGTGGTAAGAAAGGGAGTAAATAATGAGATGACTGAGAACAGGGATGAGAAATAAGCAATTGATTAAAAGTTGGAGTAATTTTGAAAAAAAATTGTATTGTATTATTATTATCGCCATAATTTGATCATAAATGGTGGATATTTTCTGTTTATGTTTGCACATTTTGGCTCTCATCTGAGTAGTTACAGTAAATTCAGTTTATCTAATAGTTGCAGAAAGTCACATATATGAATTAGCAACCCAAGGCTGGTTATTTTAAAGTTTACTAATGAATTGTAAACAACAATTACTATGATTGTATTAGACCAAGTCATAAGTGGATTTACTGTCTTTTCTCAACAACTATCTATGGAAAACTATGAAGATTGCTCATAATAATTTATCAAATGATATTTATTTATATTATATTGTATTTCAAACTGTTATGCTATGTATGTTTCCGTCAGTGACTACTAGTTAAAATAACATATAATTTTCACATTTATAGTGACTGTAAATTTTCTTATTTGTTGCTAACAGGTTCCACAGAATGCATCTGTGAGTGACCTAAAGAAAGCCATAGCACGCCATTTTGAAATATATCAGAAGAGGATTGGAAATAAAGTGAAAATATCATGGAAATATATATGGAAGACTTATGACCTCAGCTTTGACAGCTTGATCCTAGATAACAATTGTAGTCCTATAGAAAACTATGGAGTAACTAATAAAGTGACATTAGCATTTAAGAAAAGGAAAAAGAAACGGAAATAAATGTACAATAAAATGCATATACATATTATTTATTAATCTTTTACATATATGACCATTAGTTTATATATTTTAATACTACACCATAATTTCTTACTCTAATCTTGTATATTATCGACTGCTTGGTTAGTAAATAAAAAAAACATCTTTATCTTAAAATAACATTTGCATGCTTTATAATATAATAAATTTCATTACCTAAAAAATAAATTGGAAATTGAATTAGAATTAAAAAGTGGTAGAGTATCTGTTTACTCAGATAATATCACATAAAAAAAGGCCGAACTTCACTTACTTAAATATCTTAAGTTAAAAACAAACAGACAAGATACAAGCAGTATTTACTTCAATTAGTTTGTGGCGTCGGGTGCATGCTATCGTAATTTAGAGTTGTTCGAAGTCAGGCTGCGGCGGGGGCTCCTGTGGCAGCGGCTCGAAGTCCCCGAGGCTGTAGTGAGGATCTTCGTGGCGCGGCGTTGCCAGCGGACGGTCGTACTCATCTTTTAGTAGCTCTTGATCATGCTGCAAACACATGGATTATATTAGTTTTATTATTCGAAAAAAAAAAACGGTAGGGTTGGCGTTGGGTTGGCGGCAAGTCCGAATTAATCACTACAATAAATTTAAACCAAAATTGTACTTCGATACTATTGCATTGTTTCATTAGAGAACTAGTACATAACCCGTGACTTTCTGTTAGTGTCAAATGACAACAATAAATGAAACATAAAATATATTTTTTATCAATAAACTAATTATGTAATAGAATTGTAGTTGACATATTAAAGCTATCCTTAAAATTAACAATTCATTCCATATCCATTTCAATCCTTTCAGAATAAAACAGACAATCCTTATTGCACTAAATTTGAATATAAGCATTTTTTAATTACACTAAATTGCTGTTCAATCGGTTGGAAGAATAAATGTAATCAATAAAAAAGTAAGTAAAACTTGCATTAAAATATATTTAAATTTGTATATAAGAGAGAAGCCAAGTTTGTTTTTATTTTCAAACAACTCTAATGTTGGCCGCAGCTGGATTCTATAGTTTCACCGGATGATAGGGAACGAGTGTAGATGGTACTCCAAACCCGTGGAATTATTTATGGAGCGGCTGAAGGCCAACTACCGGCTGACAGTTACGATTTTAGTTCGAGGGTACAGCTAGTGGGTTGAATCTCGGCTCAGGCCGTCGTAATTTCGATCCCCGTTTGGATTGAACGGGAGATCGATCGGAGTGGAGTCAAATTTGTACAAGTATAGTTCTGTCATAATAATTCATAAATTACCTGGTCTGGTTGTAGTACAGAAGGTGGAGCCAAGTCGTCCAATGACAGCTGCGTGTTGAGTACGGACGGCGGGGCGTAGTCCGCAATGGCCGGTACGCTTTCAACCGCCTGCAATAAAATGTACGTTTTATATACATCAAAAATATTAATAGACGCATTAAAAACTATCCATTAGTCAAAAATTTGCAAATAATCATCTAAAGAAAAAAAACTATAATACTCATTAATTGATGTATACGACGATATATAGTCAGAAGTAAGCATTTGTTGAGATTGATTTTCAGGCGAGAGTAGAGTAGCTATCGGTTATCGTTTGGTAATGGAGTAGGGACTAGACTAGATTAGGGGGTCCCAATCCATCGCTGGGCCCTGGGCACGTGCCCAGTGTGCCCAGTGTAGGAGGGGCTGGTCACGGTCATAAAAGCAAGTATATACTGACGGTGTCTGCGGGCTCGTCGTCTGGTGTCGGGGCGGGGTGCGGGGCGGGGTGCGGGGCGGCGGGCGGCGGGGAGGCGGGCTCGGCTGCGCCCACGGTGTTGGCGCGCGCCTCCTCCTCGGAGCTGTACGCGGTCTTGTGCGCGCACATCAGCAGGTGCGTCAGCATGTCCGTGCCTGTAACCGTACACCGAACGATATATGTTTATTTGACGGCCTCGGTGGTCTAGCGATTTAGCACACTTTACTTCCGATGGTCGCGGGTTCGATTCATCGCACGGTGCGACATTCATATGTTTGAATCGGTTACATCCATATTGTATGTATTTAATATTACAAAAAATATCTGAGTATATACATCAGTTGTCTAGTACCTATGACATAAGCTCTACTTAGCTTGGGACTAGATGGCGATGTATTGTCCTGAGATATTATTACTATATTATTTATACGTATAGTAGATTGCCAACCACAAATTTAAGAAACCAACATTTGAAGTTGGATGCACCAGGGTAATTCAGTTTAAAAACAACACACAAGAACAGTCTTGCATCTAATATAAATAAATATGTAGTGAATATAGGTGAAATAAAAATCAAGGAATCATATTTACACGAATACAGATGTTTCTATCGTGCGAGGAATCGAACCTGCGACCGTCGAAATTAAAGCGCCGATGGCCTAGCAGTTTGGGACAACTAGCTGCTACGCCACCGGCAAATCTATTTCAAAATATGTTAATGATATGGTGGAGTTCTCGGTGTGTAGTGTACGATCGAATATGGTTGTAAGGACACGTACCGACGTCGGTCTGATATCCGCAGACGCAGTGCGTGCGGTAGGCGCGGCGCGGGGCGTCCTCGAGCGAGTGCGGGCCGGCGCAGTAGCAGCTGTGGCGCAGCATCGCGCGGTAACACGAGCTCGCGTACGGGCACTTGGTGCAATGCGACGTTCCACTGCCGACATGTATTCAAATGAGTTGTGCCGACACTTGTAATATTTCTGTCAACACTCGGCACCCTTCCATTAGTTTACCTCTCCACATAACTTCGGTTGGCAACATGCACGTTATACTCCTGTGTTTCAGGCGACCATAGGCTACGCTAACTATTTACTGAGGGCAGATGGGCAGCATGCTCGATTACTATCATCATAATATAAAAAAATGTAAACTGTGTTCTGACTTGAAGAGAAAGAAAGAGAGACGCATGGGAAATACCAGTATATTGTTGTGATGTTAAAACAATATGCACTTAAATTGCATAAAATACAATGGCGAATTTATAATTTTGTGCTTTCTCGACTGTTAATATTTATAGACTACATACCACGATACGATAAAGTGAGGCAACTATCTAAGGTACAATTAAAGAAAAAATAGAAACGCTACTTACAGGAAATGTTTATCTCTTTCTAAGGAAGTGTCACATTCCCTGCAGATCATGCCTTCTGGCAGAACGAGCGTCATTTCCTCGTACGTCTCGCTGATGGTGTGGCTGGTGGAATCCTTCACAGGGGGACGAGCTTTGTTCTGCAGACAATACATTCAATTTAATTAGCTACAATTAAGTAGGAAAAGGAATGACCGAAAGTTACTTTAAAGGAAAAAAGAAAGGCCGAAGTTTGAATTAAGAAACTTGTGTTTATATATTTACTTCTTTCCACATACAATTTCACAATGAGTAACTTTTAGGCACATTATATAAATACTAATGAAAATAATGAATAGAATTGTTAGATATGTGGACTAATAAGGCCATTGCTAGCAATGTACAATGTTAGGTTGACTCCACGCAGTCCCCTCTAACTGACTTGATACATGTTCATCTTATTATCCTCCACTGGTGTCCCACCAGCGTAAACCGTTAGCGCAGGCGGGTACCCCTTTCCATTATCATCCAAAAAACAACTAACGAAATTTTTCGGCAACAGCTTGCTTAGCAAGGGCGTTGAATACCACACCCAATACCAGTGAAATTACAGGAAATGGTTTTGTGGTGTCCGCGAATCCATTCAGTGTCACCTTCCGATTTATTTAACGTTCCTGACACGTTCAGTAAAAAAAACTTCTACAATACTATTATCATCCACTTGTAATCTTCCAGCATATCGTCAGCGTAGGCGGGCATCATTTCATTATCTTGATTATTAGTAAAATATAAACTTTATTAGTATATGGTAATTAATGGTAAAATGAGTACTCTAATCAACTGATTTAATCTTACTGTGTATTTAATATCTGACCCTATGAAATTAGTGCTAGTTGGTAGTTTGTATTCACACGTTTCGACTTAAAAATGTAAAGTTACAACAATTATTTAAAAGAGTGCCACATAAGTCTCATGTACATTCTTCTTGTGGTGAGACAGCTTTCGGAATGAGCGGTAGATTAAAAGAACCATAACTAACTATTCAAGAGTGCTTAAATTAAGTTTATTTGAATAAATGATTTTGTATTCTATTCTAATGGTAGATGACCACACGCGGTATGTTTGATGACCAATCATGTATTAATTTTGGTAAATACTTATTGATGCATTATGAAGTAATGCCGACGCCGCACGAGTGCAATGTACGTAAACCGTACATGTTATATACCTGTAGCCAACGTTGATAAAAATGAGAAAATAACCTTGGGCTTATTAATCAAATGTTCTCCTGAGCATAATGGCGCTGCGTCCTCTACAGTGTGGTGGTCACGGACCTGGTGTTCCTTCAGTTGGCCTGTTGAGAAAGTGTGATACTAGTTTATTACAATATCACAACATACATTTCTATACTACGTTCCATTCATTTACCATTGAGTAAGTTTTCGCTGCTGCATTTTCTACAATTTAAAATATTTATTTAAAATATATGGAAGAAAAAAATATTTCTAAATTTTTTTCATCCACGTGTACTAAAAACCACTTTCCCCCCATCTTTCTGACAGTCTATGAATTCGCCGCATATAAGTGATATCATATAAGTGAAGTCTTTAGGACAAACCAAGAATCGATCACTTCTTTAGTATCTTCTTAAGAGTGGAAGTTACTTAGCATTTATTTGTTACATAAAAAAAACTACATACCTAGATGTACAAATTTGAGCACGCATCTGGAGCATCGTATGTCTATTTTCTCTTCGTGCTGTTTCAAATGATCTATGTACAGTAGAATGTTTGATGTCAATTCACAGCCGTCCGAGTAAACTATAATCACCTAGTAAAGGAAAGGAAAATATTAAATAGATTATAATTTTGTGATGTTAATGGAAAATTAATGTTTGTCTTGTGTAAATAAACTCAAAACTATTTATTCATATAGAACCTTTCGACCTCTGCGACAGTGTTTGGGAGAGCGTGTACCTTGATCTATTTGGTAGCGCGTGCATATCTTGAAACAGTATGCAGTGCGGAGCCGGCGTGCAGCTTCAGACAGTGCGTGTACAGTTTGACTGGGAGTACGTATGTGGCTTGAGACAGTGTGTGATAGGGTGTCTATAGTTCGAGACGAGTGTCTGGAATAGCGCATGCAGTATGAGTCGTATGTTGAAAAAGTATGTAGTGGGAGTGTAGGTGCAGTTGAATACAGTGTCGCGGTGTGTGGGGTGTGAGAGCGTACCTTGAGGCAGTGGGGGCAGAAGACCCGCGCGGTGGAGGCGTGCGCGGCGCGGAAGTGGTCGGCGGCGGCGCGGTGTCCGGAGGCGCGGTAGCGGCACGCGCCGCAGCAGTACGGCAGCTCCAGCGGGGCGTGCACCTTCTGCATGTGCGCCGCCAGCGTCAGCACCGCCGCGAACCGCACCTGCGTACACACACCGACGATTCATTTTATTCTCATGTCAATACAGTGTACTGTGGTGGGTGGTGGCACGTTCTCACACCATATGCTGAGCAGGAGACCGCAGATTAACATATGTTGGTTCCCGCGCGATCAGGAGAGCGAGCGATTTAGCGCGGAAAAACCATTGCGCGCAATCGTCAGAGATTGCATTTAGCTATTTTTTGTGTTCAGTCACTCTATTATTATGTTTTTGCTAGTTAGTCAAATGTCCGTAACTGTAGTGATAATTAAGTATTACGAAAATGAGTTGAAACACACAATTGAAGGACGCGGGAATACGCGGTAGCGTAAACGGTTTTATGTTAGTTATAGATATTTATTTACATGTACATTCTTCCTGCATGAAAGCCGATTTGCTCGTGAAAGAGCATACATGTAAAGGCAGGAATTTTATTCTCATATAAATTATTATAACAATCATAGCCTTTATTGCTGTAGATATTTCGAGTAATACATAAATTATTAGATTTTCAGATTGTAAAAGCTAATTGATTTTGGAATAATTATTTACTAATACATATCCACATCCACATATTTTCTTCCGGGAAGCCTCCTCTAGAGACATACCCAATTCTCTATCCTGATCTTTCCTTCTCTCCTTCTATATACATATACCTTAGATCTATACTAATATTATAAAGATAAAGAGTTTATTTATTCGATTGATCATTAAAGTTGTTAGTTAATTTAATACAAACCTCACAAATAAGGCAAGCATAAGTAAATATCCCTGGTGACTTGGTGTCAGCTGGGTGGTACTCCTTCAGATGTGCTTGAAGATCATCTTCGTTAGCGAAGCTTGTCACGCAGTAGTTGCAATAGACTCCATCTCCACCGTCTGGAGCTGGCGCCACATGAGTGAAGATATGTTCCATAAGCTTCAGATTGTCTGTGATTTCTACATGGCAAATCGGGCACTGTGGAAGAATGAATTATTGTTACACCTACTATTATGAACTTATGTACATTAATATAGAAGGACAAATAGAAGCAAATAGCAGGAGAAGAATATTATTGTTAAGAATGTTGGAGTCAAGTTGTATGAACTAAATGTCCAATTATGGAATCGTGGGAAAAAACAAGAGATCTACCAACTCTTAAATTGATTGATTGTAACTTCTATATTTATATAGGTGCGATTACATTACATGGGTGAGATAATAAACTTGCGGTGTCTAAAATCGCAGTTATCAAAAATGATAATGTTTAAAAGGTACTACAGACATCAGGCATTATGTTCTTTGCATTCGTGATGTAGTAAATCTGCATAAGTGTGGATAATATACATACTGCGCCGAGCTCAAATAATGGGATAAAGGGAAGATAATGATGATTAGAGATCCTACAGTCCTTAGATATATCTAATCTCAGGTCTGTATTCCAATAAGAGGTAGCGAATTTGTCCGCTTACGTCGACGCCAGAAGAAATAGTCTTTGTTCATCTATACTCACCTCAACAGCAATGGCAACTTTTTCCACAGGCTCGTTGTCCACAATCTGACCAAAATAGTACCTCTCCATGGACACAGTTTCTTCAGGTTTGATCTCCTTCTTGATGTTCTTCAGCGGAATATCGTCGAGGTCCCCGTCATCGTCCACGTACGTTTTAGGCACTTTACGGCGACGTGTTGGCAAATTCTCAGTCTCTTTTTCTTTGGTCTTCTCTTTCTCTTTGGGCTTTTCCAGTTCTTGCTTGATTTTTGTACGGCGGAGGGCCAATGGTACCTACAATATATAATTAATGTCAATGTTCTATATCTGAAGCATGCAGCTTTATTTCCCTTGATCGTAATTCAATTACTCGCACAATAGCAACCTTTTATATTCATGAGTATGATTAGTCTGAATGTTTTATGTATTATATGTAATACAATTTATAAATAAAAAAATCATAAAAATAATGAAGTAAACTTCAGTGTCTTCGATATATTTGCAAACTCAAGCGGAGTGCCAGTATCAGCTCTGCTAAAGTGGAATATACTCAACACGAAATATTTTTTTAATAGTTAAATGTTAAACGGCTCGCCTATCAGACGGCAGACTTACCAGCTGGACAGAATACATAAACTATGATATTTATAACAATAGATGGTAGATTTATAACCGAAGGTGATTAGACTCACCTCTTCTTCATCATCATCGTCTATATAAGTGGTAGCAGTGGCAGGAGGCGCTTTCTCTTTCTTCTTCTTCTTAGGTGGCGGCAATGGAGAAGGGTCCTTCTTCCTTCGCCCGCGCTTACTGCGACCAAGTTCTGGCTCGGGTTCCTCGACTTTATCCTTGTTTTTCTAAAACACAATATGGAAGATGGTTTAAAATTGCTTAAATAGTTGTAATAAAGGGATTGAATACAAAAAATACTTCTTTTATGTTCTTTTGATTTCTCTTAGTTCAAGTTTTGTCTTGACAATACTATGAGTGATGTAATGTCAGTCATCGTTTTGTCAAGCCTAAATTAAAATGTAAGTCTTATATTACATCAGTCGAAGTCCGTCGTCGAACAGTCGACACTAGGTTTCCAAAGGATATCCAAACTTTATTAATTGCCTAACAATACTTTATTTAGAGGTGAAAAACGTATCGGAATATGGGTTCATCATCAGTCAGTGTTGACTGGACGACGACCAAATTGCGACTGACGACGAGAGCTCTATTACAATATATTTATTACCTTGCTGGGATACTTCCAATTTTTGAATGGGTTTGCAGCAATCTTGTTGAGTCGTACAGTGATAGCATCTTTAGCCTCCAGCTTCGTTTGCTCCGATATATGCAGGACTATATTATCGAAGGCCTGGCCAGGTGAAATACCATACCTGGATAGAAATGTTGTTTCCTTAGTAATTAATAAAATTATCAACTAATATTTGGGATCTGATATATGATGACAGATATAAGATTATCCACAAATACAAGATTATCGCGTTCCATTGCTGTTCTTATGGGAGTCGTGACGGCCTAGCGGTTTAACACACCGCCTTATTTCCGATGATTGCGGGTTCGATTCTTCACACAGTACAAACATTTATATTCATGAGTATGACTGTTTGTATCAGTCTAGATATTTTCTATATTTAATAGAACTTCACAAATGTCAGATGTAACATGATGTCCATCATAAACAACGGTAACCACTTACAATCAGATGTACCGTCAGCCACGTTTCTTACATTCTAGTTATACATATAAAAAAATGAAATAAATATATATTTAGAAATCTTACTTTTCTCTCCAAACAAGTTCGTCCAAGAACTGCTGTATAATCTGCCTGGACAACAGTGAAAGTGTGTTCTGGAACATTCTGGGTACTATGCGCCTCAAATACTCCATAATGTTGGCATTGCTGTTCCTGGATGGCTGGTCAGAATGTGAAGATGCTTGGTGGACGGTTTTGAAGCCCATACACACAAGTGTGCTCTTGTCTACAGTTAAGTCTGTTAATATCACTGAGGAGGGATGGACCCACAGACTCAGAGGTTCTAGTATCTTTTGGAATCGCTTCTTGTAGTTCTTTTCGTGCTCTGCTAAAGGCTCGACCGCACGCAAGCGAATCTGTAAAAGGTAGTTTTAATATAACTATTCTATGATTGATAATAGCCTCCTTTACACAACACATTCTTTTATGCGCGATTAGAACACGCGTGCCATACATTACATTTAATTATTTTTTCTTTACTTCGGGCGTGTTTGGGGCTATTATTCATGTCATTTCACTTTTCTTTCAATAAGTCTATAATTATGTTTTTGCTCCATAAGGCGCAAAAACAAAGAACACGGGAATGCGTGAGCTGGTGGCGGGCGCGGTTTTTCTCGCTCTCTTTGTCTACATTTACATATTTACATGCTCAATCAACAAAGAGTCAAACAAAGAGAACCCTTTCGACGTTTTAAGTTTTAATAATTAAATTATAATCATTACTTTAAATTAAAACCATTCAATATGGTACTAACCAATTTCTCAACAGGATCCAACACACCCAGCACTTCAACCTTCACCTGCCTCTGTGTACCATCATGGCTGGTTGTCCCCAGTGATATGACACCAACCTCAACTTTCTTCCCAGGACCACCCAGCATACTCAAATGTTGGTGAATAGCTGATGTGCATATAGCTCTTAACCATGTGAATAAGCCTTTGACATACAAATTGTCAACTTTCACCCACTGCACTACATTCTGTACATTTGTCTGGCACGCCCAGTGGTAGATAAGTTTTAGAAGGACGCTAGGAGGGAAGGTGGCGCCTTCGAAGATAGAGCTGGAAAATACGGAGACAAACCGAGTGGGGCAGCACTCAGATATCCAAACGTAGCCACCAGAGTAGGGAAACTTTGTCACGTCCGAGTACATTCCTGAAAAAATTGAACATTATTTAAATTATAGACTATATTTATAGACATTAATAAAATTACTGAAAAATATTCAGATGTCATCTGTTATTTTTTAAATAACAATAACAAGTGGGGTATTTACATTATTAAAAAAATAAATAAAATAAATTAGATTTTATGATAATATGTTTATTTTAGTTATGACTTGCTTCTCTGTTTTCTATAGTTATTTAGTTATATTTTTAATGAAAAGTTCGTCCAAATTCAAACACAAACAATTTTCGGCTCTTCATTATTTAACAATTTCATTATATGTAATAAAAAAAATATTTAAAGAAATATTGACTCATTTCATACATGTCCTGTTCTTGCCTTCGTTAAATTAATAATATAAATAAATATAATAAAAATTAGTTTTGTAAAATAACAAATAGCTAACCAAGCTTTAGCTTATTCCCTGGATGTATGATACACCATTGCTCCGACCTCACTAATCCTTGTTGTATGAGCCACTCTGTGAACTTCATGGGTGTATGCATTAGTACAGATTTGACTTTGCTGTCCAGTGCGGACCGGTCCGACGGCGGCGCCGTTTCCTTAGACCGTAGGTACGGACGAGCAACCACCACAAGTGATGGGAATGTTTTCCCTAAAACAAATACACTTTTTAATATACAAAAATATGTTTACTTTTGTTGTAGAATTTTCAAATATAAAAAGGATAAAGTTCATAAATCTATTATACGACTTGTCATTTTGTATATATCTGAATGTTGAACCGTATAGGGGACGGACGAAAGGTGTGTGCATGTGGCAGAAATGCAAAATATTGAGATGGATGTGTGAGTAAACAGGAATGACAGAATAAGGAATGTGTATATACGAGGAGTTTGAAGGTTGCGCCAGTTGACAGACAAGTTGCGAGGTAACAGATTGAGCCATACCAAAACTTGACCTTCATAAGCTGATGCAATTCAAAAAATCTGATTATAGCCGGAATGCTGATCGCAGATAGAGAGAAATAAAAAAAAAAATAATAAGCTGATGCAATGGACTATAGACTATATATAAATGGTTTTTGATTTTATAACAAACAAGGTTACAGAAACATTCATACCTTGTAACTTGTTGAATGATACTTCACGGGAGTCGGCAACATTCTTATTACTTTCCTCTTTTGTGAGGTCAACAATTGTCGTGGTTTTCGTCGCACTGCCAGTTAAAAGGCCACCAATAGCTGTGGCTTCAGATGGCCGAACATTTGTAACCACACTGTGTACATCTGGAATAGAATTGGTTTAGAAAAGAAATAAATACAAAAACATGGCAGATAGTGGTTTACCATCCTGAATTACACTCAAGAGATCATGATTTCAAATCTAGCCAAAACAAAAAAAAACTTTGTGTGTTAATATATATTTCTGCCTAAATCTTTATCAAGGATACAAAAGCATTAAACCAAAAATTAATCCATCCTTTGCCAAGTTGAAACAAAATATACCGAGGAAGGTGTGGGCATGTCAGGTATCACATTCACAATAACATTGACAGTTGTCATTGCCTCCCACAACACCATTTTAGATGCTGTACATGAGGGATAAAATTTGAGACAGTATGTTGTTGATATTCCAAATTTGAACTTTACTGTCATCTTTTGACCTTCACTACAAATATAGTAAAGAAATTATAAAGGCCTAGTGTACCTGCTTTTTTTTTTTATTAAAATGTTTTACGGCTTTATACCCAGTATTGCCTATTTTCCCAAATATTAAGCTTAACACATTATTTACATACCTAATACTTTTAATCTACATAACAATTTACATGATTCATAAACATGTATCTAGGTAGATATATGCTTAGGTATCTTGTAAGTTATAGTATCTGTAACTACGTACCCCAATGGGAGATTATTATTATTATTATTAAATATATAGGTTAATAGTGTAGTAATATTTGTTATTGATAAACAAATGATGTTATTTAAAAAATCTACTTCACTTACTAGATGGTGCCAATGTTTTATCCTTGGTCTTTGTGCTATCCTTATCTTTGTCTTTATCCTTATCTCTTTCCTTGTCTCTCTCCTTGTCTTTTTCTCTATTCTTGTCCTTCTTTTTCTTTTTGTGACGAGTCTCAGGAGATTTAGTCCTTTCTGGAGAAGGTGAGTAATTACGGTCTTCCTCACGGACTTTTCTTGGACGTCCTAGAAACCCACAGAAAATATTATTTATATATTCTAAATTAATAATGGTGTGATGGATACTAGAATACTGATAGAAATACTTAATTTATTTTTTCTAAAGACATACAGTAAGACTGTGCATAATGTGGAGGATATGTTCCAGCGCTAAATGAATCAGCTTTTTTTCGTTTTTTCAGAATCACTACTATCGATATTTATTTTCTTCTTGCTCAATAAATCAATCCCTTGATATAGTTATTAAGAAAGATTAGTTGCTGTTTTTTGAACTATTTCCTCAACATATTTCCATTAGGTTCTGAATCCCTGGGTTGAAATAGAGGTGTGCTAAACAAAACGGAGTCTTACTGTACTTAATATATTGAAAACGCCCAGACCAATAAAAATAATCAAACAAATACTAAACATTATGCAAGGAATCAGTAGAAAGGTAGTCTTAAACAGCTAGACCATCAAGAAAGAAAGTATTACACCAGGCACACTAGCATAGAAATCAACATTGGTATCTACCGAACTCCATTTTAATAAAACTCAGATAATATTTAGGAAACAAACTAACCTCTTTTTGATGTGGGCTTTTCCTTGGCCACAGAAAGAGAACGAGATCTAGATCGTATGATTTCCGCACTCTGTCTCTCCAAATCTTTCAGCACAGGTTGTCTGAAAATTAATTTCATTATTGTTAATTTAATTTGGCAGCTAAAATAGTACTATGAAAATATTTCAATATTGGAATGGAATACAAGGTGACATACCACCTGATGGGAAGTGGTAACTGTCATCTATATGTATATATGAACAGCACTACATTACATTATTATATAATGGCTATGATACCACTAATAAGTTCCTTTTCAAGAGGACTATGATGTTATGTAGCCTGAGCTGTTACTTTACTGTGTTACCTGATATTATAAACTAGCTTAAAATAAACAGACAGAGATTACTTTTTTGTACAAAGTCCAACTAAGAAAAACTAAATAAACAATAATATTTATTATTTATAAGGTTACTTTAAAGAAACAATTGACTAATAACTGCATAATAGGCATAAGACACTCGAAAATTAAGATTATATTAATTTAAAATTATTAATAACATAAAAACAAATTACTAACTTCCCCAGCAATTGATATGCAGTAAACTGATCTCCGTTATACACAATTTCACCACCAGTATCCTTCACCATTTCATCCAATTTCGACTGTATGCTTTTGTATTCATCATCAGCATTTTTATAAGCCTTAAGTTGGACTTCAGAAAGCTCTTCCTCCCAACATTCCAGCTCCAGAGTGGGAACATCAGGCCCAAAATAGGATCGCTTGTAAAGGTCAGCCTCGATAATCTCAGCCTGAGGAGGCACTGCAGGTACTGATTCCTGTGGATACAGAAGCCGGTTAATGAACAGCACGAATTAACAAGTCTAAGCATGTAAACAAATATACTGAATGGAGAAATAGCAACCTCAGTGTCACTTTTTAGTTTCTTCAACTTCATTTTAAAAACTTATTTCTTGCGATTTAAAACCATGAAATATATATTTTAGAATTTGCAGTACTAACACGGAAAGTATAAAATACAAATAAGAAATAAGGAAATTAGAAGCTGTAAGCAACGCTAATAAAGCATCAGTCTACTATGTCAGTTGTGTCAGTTTAGTATTAGTTCCTTCGCCAGTTTGAAATTACTGACGTTGACAATCAACTCTTATCGCAGAGTACTTTCTCCTTCTGAGTAAAATTATCTCGTTCAGTATCTGTCTATTAATTTATCTGTGACAAATAAAACTGTTTTCTAAATTGTAATATTGTAATTATATTATGAAAATCTTTGTTATTAAATAATTTTCGCATTATAATAAGGTCTAAACATGGAAGCAGTGCCAAAATTACCGATGGTCAGCTTTGAGGTGAAAGTGAGTACAGAGAATACTCATTTTGGGCCTAAACTTAAACAGGTAACAATGTCATGTACTTAATGGGTATGATTAATTGTTTTGATATGGCTTTGTTTTTTCTATCCTTCCCGTTGTTCTTTTAGTATATAGCAGAAGCATATAGAGAAGATCCGGACAGCTATGGTAATGAAATACATCAGCTAGAAGGCCTGCGGTCGGCTGCAGTACGCCCGACGACTGATTCAGCTGGTATAACTGCTCTCGTCAGATATTTTTGCCAATTGCGAGCCATTCAGAGCAGATTTCCAATGGCTAAAGGACAACCTGCGGCCTGTACATTTGCCTGGTAATGAACAAGATCTATTATTTTCGTTTTGTTTCTCTTACAAAAGTATGATTGAAAACATATTCCTTGTTTCTTAATCTTATTACTTTATTTATATTTTTAATTTGTTATATTTTTTGTGATTATCTATATAATAATGTTTTTATAACTATAACTTCAAATTTTAGGAAAGATCTGTATGCTGGCATGTCTTGTCCATTAGCTGACATACGTTTTGAAATGGCATGCATTCTACACAATATTGGTGCACTTCACACTGAGTTAGCATTCTGTGAGCCTCGCACAACTGTGGAGAGTTTAAAAACAGCCTGCACTAGATACCAGAATGCTGCATGGGCTTTTCAGCAAGTGAGGGAACAATATCCACAACCACCAGGAGTTGATGTTTCTTCTGATATTATGAGGCTTTTACAGGAAATATGTTTTGCTCAGGCTCAGGAATGTATCCTAGAAAAAAGCATTCAAGATTCAAAGAAGCCTAGTGTTGTTGGTAAGAATCTTTCCTTTTATCAGGCAAGTGTTTTGCTCATTATTGTATTATAATCTCATTATGAACTAAAACAGGTGCTGTTGGAACACAAGTGCTGTTATTCTACAGAAACTCACTTGCTCTGCTTAACCCCTCAACTGGTGCAGATAGTATTCACGAGGTTATTGGCAGTAAACTATATAATTACTGGCATCGCTATCTCTCCTTCAAATCTTCCTATATTGGATGCATAGTCTGTTTGTATCAGGGTAAGTAATTGTTATTATATTGCATTAAAATTAACAGCATCAAGTGGTTTAGCACACCACCTATTACCAATGATTATGGGTTTGATACTTTGCAGACTACAGACATTTGTATTGAGAAGTATGTTTGTTTGTTTAAATTATTAATAGAAAACTTTCAGACCAATATTCTGAGTGTTGAATGAATTGAATTAAACTGAACTGAACTGAATTTAAGATTCATTAGAATCTTACATTATCAATAGAAAACACTCAAGGACCTTCTAGATGAATCTAGAAGGTCCTTGAATTCCTCTACAATCTCCGAATTTAATCAATAATATAGAATATCCTTATTGATTTTTTTTTTATCTTTTTAGTGTAATATAGAATTTTGAAATTATTGTTTTTAAGTTAGAGATTTCAGATTGTTCAATTGATCAAAGAATATTTTGCAATGTATTTCTTATTTAATTGAATTAAATATATTTTCACATATTTAATTATTAAGTATTTATTTGAGGGTCTGGATATATTGTATAATGGATGTAATTTACGAAATCAACATAGGCTTATTTTCAATGTCTTATTATTCTACATTGTTGAAATACATATAACTAAAATACATTAGTTCACAGAAAAGAACTGACTACTAATCATGGAATATTTATGGAATAAATTAGAAATGTACTCAAATCTATTTATTATAATATTATGAATTTATTGTACCTGAAGTGAGATCTATTTTTGGTTGTCAGTTGAAAAGTCTGATAACGCAAGCATGTTAGCAACCGCATATCAGAAAAGTAAAGAGAGAATGTGAATATATGGGATATACATGGTTTTCCTACTCATGGTAGTAGGCGACTAATATTTGAATATCAGATATTATTATTCATAAGCTATTTTGTTTAGGTATGAATGCTGAGGAACAACAGAAAATGGGAGAACGAGTCGCATTCTACCAGCTGGCAGTAGATAAACTGAATGAAGCTCGAAAACTCGCCAAATATGTTGAACCGCCTCAAATGACTCAGGAAGCATTGACTTTTACTAATGACGTGGTTGAGGGGAAACGGAAGGCGGCTAAGAATGAAAATGAGTTCATATACCATGAAGAGGTTCCAGATAAGGATTTCTTGATAGATTTAAAACCAGTGTGTTTAGTGAAAGCTATGCCAATCAATTTTAATGACCCTGAGGTAATTATTTTTATTTGATTATAAACAATTTTTTTTATAGCATGATATGAAGAAATGAGCTTCTGGCTCACCTGATGGTAAGTGATTACCGCCGCGCAAATCGCCGTGAATACCAGGGGAATTGCATTGCCGGCCTTTTAAGAAGGGATATGCTCGTTTCTTGTAGGTTTCAATATCATATTAGTTTGGGAATAACATTGCTGCAAAGTGATTCCACAATTTGGAAATTTCTTTCAATTTAAATATCATTCATACACAGGGCTTCCCTATTGATGTCCTCGGCGATATAGTGGTGTAGTTTATATGGTAAATTGTAACCATTTTTGAAAAAGATCAATGGCAGCTTTATTTGTTGTTTTTAATGTGATTCGTAAATACTTAGAGCTCCCATTCTTTTCTATTTTTATTACTGTATCTACTATTTATAGTGTCTAATAATTTTCTTTTTTTAAGTGTCTAATATTTTTTTTTGTTGTAAGATATCGGGCCCAGATATTTTCTCCCGGTTGGTGCCAATGGGAGCACACGAGGCTTCCTCCATGTATTCCGAAGAAAAGGCGAAACTTCTCAGACATGTTGTGGGGCAAGCAGAAGTCAAGAACACAGAGCTTATGGAATTCATGTCTTCATTGCAGCTTGACCAGTTAGAAGTGCTGGAATCTGACCAAAAGTAAGTATGACGGGTATTAAATTATGATGCATACAAATAGGAGTAGGTAGGGCTCTACCAGACAATTTATGTATATTTGTATTATTATTACATATGTATGTTAGTATATAAGGTATATATGGTATATATCATTCATAGTCATTAGTAACTTGAAATAAATAAATAAATATATCATCTGTTGATGTACTTTGTAGAAATTCGTCTAAAGTACACACTAACAATTATTTCAGCTATTAAATTTTGGTCTTGTGAATGTCAACATATTGGTGGTAACACAGGTCCCATGACGGCGTCATGTCTGTAGTGCTGTGCTGTTAATATCTATAGGAGGCAGTTGCCATTTATAGTCACTTGATAGCTATTACATTTACATATATAATACAACTATATAATACATATGTACATGTTAATTTGCCGCAACAAACATGTTTGTGGAACCTTTATCTATTGAGGTAGATAGCTGATAATGTGGCAGTGTGCAGCTATGAATCATCCTTTCTTTTGCTTTTACATGTTATTAATGTATTTACAATTTTAGATAAGATCCTCAATTTTACTAATAGACTTTAAAATCCTCATAGTTCTAAGTTGAATATGATTTGTTTTTTTTTCATTACTATAAGATACGTTTTGTTCTTACGAAGCTTTTAATACGTTTTTAAACGACATACGCTTCTCCCTGTTTCAAATTTAAACTTATTTATATATGAGCTACGTTCCGTTTTGGGTGTGTAAGGACTGCTTTTAGTCTGCTTTGAGAGAAGTAAAATTTTATATTGAAATATGCTTGTATTATGACTACTGATTGAAGTGTACCTACATTCCTGTATGAATCAACCACTTATAATCATTGAATATTGTTTTTAATAATGTTTTAGGATACCGCAAGAAATAGTGGACAGATGCGCAGCTATGAATGCTAAGTCAGAAATTATACAAACTCTGGTAGATTCAATGAACAATTTGGCTGAAATCATTAGTGATGTGGAACAATCTTTGGCAGATATCAAAAGTTTTATACAGGTCTGATATTTCATATATCCAAATACTGAAAATTATGTGGTATTTAGGTAAAGTTTATGCGTTCGGATGCCAAAAATCCGAATAAATTGATCATTTATTCGGATTTTTGGGATAATAATAATAATATAATAATACTAATCTCAGGACAATTCATACAGAGCCATCTAGACTCAAGTTAAGCTAGCTAGAGCTTGTGTTATGGGTGCTAGATAACCGATACAAATACATAGATTTTTTTTTTTTTGTAAAAACAATCATACTCATGATACTAATGAATTATACAAATGAATTAATGATCAGAGATTCAGTAGGTCTGAGAATCGGTTACTATCTATTTTTATACCCTTAAATTTAATTTAATTTAAATTAGAAATAAATTTATCTGGTGTGAGCTCTTACTATAAAACTATTTTAGTGTGTATTTTAATGTACTATTAATTACAATTTTCAGGACGAAACAAAGAAAGAGAAAGAGTTCCAGCAAGTGATGGGCCCTCGTCCGCCGTCTATCGTCCAAACTGAACTATCTCGTGAATACCATAAGTATCAAGAGGCTCACACTCGGACCAACGAAAGCAATCAAGTGCTTCATAAAGCTATGACGCTCCACATTGCTAATTTGAGACTGCTCGCTCAGCCACTAGATGCGCTTCAACACAAAATACCTAGTATTGATAATATTGGTGAGTCTACCTTGCTTTATCTTCGTCCTTACCTTTACCACAGATAATATAATATTACATACAGATACCCCATCCCATACAAGAAAATGGTTCCTTCCTAACTCGGGCTATTCTTCGGGCTATTTTATTTCGCCGCCGTAGGCGCTAGATGTCGCTATATCTGAAGCAGTTCGGATTACTAGTGGGTGATTAGTAATAAAGCATGAAAATAGATGGCAGAGAATTCGGTCTACATGACATCTGTTTTGCAAAGATACGTACATAATAGATATATAACTGTATCGAACTCCTGATTGGGTACAATCGAAAATTCAATGTAGGTATAATATTGTTCGCTGACAGTCTCCAGACACGGCTAATGTACCTATGTATCTATGTACTATGTTACAGTTACTTTTTTACATGCCTAATTTTTTTCTCCCGACGAAGATAATAATATGTCGTAACGCGTCTGCACTAAAATCGGGCTATCGGTTAAGGAGCAATAGCTCCTTAACGAATAGCCCGATTTTAATACGGTTTTTTTTTATTTAAATTGTTATGTGATAGTGATAGATTTTAGCTATAATCAATTGATGTGCATATGGGTACCTCATATAATTTTCAGTGTATAATTATTTCTCAATATATAGTTAATTATGGTAAACTGGCAATTTGTAAAACTGAAAATAATATCTGCAAACCATCAATCTGTTATATGTATAGGTTCTTTCAGGGATACTACATCGGTGCTAATGACATGTAGGTACTTATTTTGATGTTATACCTATTTGTAGAACCTTCGATATCTACAAACTACACCTTTACTGCTAGTTTTTTGGTATTTATGTAAGTTGTTAATCAGTTGAAATTAAGCTGCGAAATTACAGGATATTTGGTCATAACATCTATGTTCTCCGGAATGATAACGTATGCGGGATATAGGGGGCACGACATGATGACGTAATGCTGTTTAATAATATATGTGTATGTATGTACGTCGGATAGCGTCGTGGTTGGATGGATCATCACCGTTACCCTCCCTCATCCATATTGTCAAAAGTTACTACCTACTATTATGGGGAGGGAGGGAGGGTAACGGTGATGATGATGAGATCAATAATGACTGTTGACGATAGTGACGATGGTATTTATTTATGACCACCATAAAATTCATCATTGGCAGTATTCTCAACATTATCATCATTGTTCATCATGATGATTGAGATCAAATTAATTAATTGATTAAAAAAGTAGCAAGTATTAGGTAGGTACTAAGTCCTTATATGACTTAAATACAAGGTTCTGGGATGCTGTGATATACTACAGTCTCTAGATTTAGTTTCTTATTAGTATTTCACGACCAAAGTCTATAGACAGAGAAATATAGATTTACACAAAGTTTTTTGATGTAAATGGGAATTATTATACACATTGCATTAAAAAATATATATGATTACCATCTAATACAAAATCATTATGTAGTAAATAATTCCTGACATTTTAAATCGAATGAGGTGAAACTAACATTGCATGAACACAACACTTGAAGATCATAAAATTTTTATTTCAGGTAACAAAACACTTTTAAATAATTTATTAATCACAGAATAAACAATTGTTAATAATTTACAATAATATTTCTTTCACTGCTTGTCTGTTATACCACTAAAACTTCAAACACTTCTGTTATTTTTATATTATATTCCAATCATTTCATAATTAATTCCTGGTACACAAAATATTCCTGGATTTGTTGATGAAGCAATATAATAATAATCATGTGTTTAAATCATAAACTTATTTGCAGTCAGTTACACATAATATAATTACTTGGAATTTCTTCTCATCACTAGTCCATTGCTTTCTTACTTATTTAATTATATTATTAATTGCATTGTGATTAATAATTTACAGATTTTTCTTCTGCTTTTTTCTCTTATTTTTACTTGCATTATTATTTTATACAGTAAAATGTTCATATATATATACATATATATTTCTTATTCTTTTGAACTCCTGTTCTTCACAGTAAAAATGTTATTTATCTTCATCTTAATGACTAGGAGATTTAGAATATCATCTCTTATTTGTTTAAACTTTGTTCAGTATTAAGTTGTTGATGTCAGGAAAATCTGAAAACAATATCATATACCTATGTTACATTTTCATGAACTTACATGAATGAATTTACATGAAAGTAACTAAACTGTAACCTTATTAGTACAATAAACATATTATTCATACATCATATTCATTCAGTTCTAATAAAATATAAAAATAATACTACTGTTTAGTACTTTATTTTGATTAATAATTTTCAGTATTTTCTCAATCAATCAAAAATTATAAAATCAGTGTTAGTTTTTTGAAGTTACATTCATAACAATAATAAAAACATAATAATACCACATTAAAGCGGTCACCAAGTACCTATGTTTATTATATTTTAATATGAAAGATACACACGCTACATATGCAAGTTTTTAACAACTTATAGTTATACCTGGTATAAGATAATCCTCAAAGACACGATAGTTTACTAAATATTTGTAGTATTTCTTAGACACATTTAAATTATTAAGTTTGACAAAAAAATAAGAAGTTCAATGAACTCTGAACAGGAACAATTCAAAAGTTGAATTAAAGTACCTACTTAACTTAAATGATGAAAAAAGAGAAAAATTCCAATGCTAGTGAAAATATGTTTTAAGCATTTGACTTAAAGTCGTTTATCCTATTCTTTTATTCCTATATTTTATATTTTTAACCTTTCATTTATGTTGCCAGTACTCGTTGTCATTTCGATATAATAAAAAAATATGGACCAACCTACGATTTTAAATCGATATTTTTATTTGTGATGAAATCTAATAATATAAATTATGAATAACCTACCCTCGAATGGATATTAAAACACTAATTATCATGAATAGTAGGTATTAGGATAAGTAATATATCATAGTATTATGAATGATTATCGTTTCAAAACCTTGTACAATTTAGTAAGGTTGAAAATATCCTTCTACAAAAGCAAAATTCGAGTATTTGTAAAAATTCGAGGATCCTCATATTTAGCTATCAATGTCAGTAATTTAGATACCATATAACACTTGTTTATTGAGGTTTCATAAAGGTATAGCTGACCTTATATACTCTATACCACATTCAATTCTCATTCATTAAATTACAATAAGTAGGTATTTATTTTTTTAATAGAAAAACAATGTCACTAATGTCATTAATTGCTATAATTACCAGGGTGACCGCGTGGAGGTTGATATAATAGAGTACACTTGTATCAGATCAATCTAATTAATATTTCCCTCTTCAAGTTTTGAAGTTATGAGCGAACAGATAAATATATAGTACTTGCATACCTGTCAAAATCTCTCTATTTTGCCGTCGTCGAGTAAAAATTATGCATTGCAATTCGTTCCAAATAAGAGTATAATACAAAATGATGAAATTTTACTGTTTGCAAAGACTAATTAAAAGCACCATCGAATAATGCGTTGTAATATCCTGTTATCGATTATTCGAAAAAATCGGTAATCTATGCATTTATTTTTGATATGGCAACACTTTCTAAATAAGTATTACTGGCATAATATGGTTTTCTTGTTTAGCTGTTTTATATTTACTTAAACTTTTTTTATGTTTAATTTATCATAATAATATAGTAAGTACTTATTATTTGAAAATATAAAATAAACATTTAAAATACGGTGATACAAATGAAAACAGCGCCATCTATGAAAGTCTTTTGGAAACAATAAGCCCCAATTAGCAATGATTAAATTGTAAACAAATACAGGGCAACAACAAAATGAGTAAATATATGAAAATTACTTTTCAAAACGCATTATTTCATTTTAACATCTATATATGACTTTTTAAAAATAGATTAAACCTTTTTAAAAACATAGTTTTGGGTTTTAAACGATTACAAAACAATGTTGAATTCCATTCGATACCAATGACGCCATCTAAATCCGTTTTTCGAACTAAAAATGGCTACTATGCCATTGTTACCCACTGCCTTTACTGAGGCTTACCATAAGAATAATAATAATAACCTAGGACAATTCAATATAAACTATGAAATATTAAAAAAACAAATACAGTATTTACTTTTGAATCTTGCAGAGGGCTTAGATCGGGAGACGATGCTGGAGATGCGACGAGTAGTGGCCAAAGCACGGGAGATGCAAACACAGAGAGATTCTCTAATCCAGCAGCTGAGAGAGGCAATCACGAACGACGATATTACATCACAACTGCTTGCACGGAGCACCGAGCCCGCTGATGAGATATTCAAACAGGAGTTAGAGAAACACACACCAAAGGTATGATATTTTAAATATGACTATTATTTTGTCAACATTATGGTCATCAGCCATCCATTTAACTGATTAATCAATTTGTGTTTATGACTTATTACTATATTACTTATTTAATATACATTATTATTGTTACATAAAGAAATGCATTTTTTTAGGTTAAAATAATCGAACAGAATCTAGCAGCTCAAGAGAATATAATTAACAAACTGACGTCTTTATACGCGTCGTACGGCGACTCGCGGCGTATGCTTTCCGATGTATTAAGGAAGCGAGAGGGGCTCATTAATGGTATGTAAATTGTATATATATCTCATTAGTAACGTACAGTATTCAATATAATATCTATACAATTGAAGTGTCTGTTTGTATTTTTAACCGTCTACTGCCGTCTCTTTAATTAATTTGGTTTCTTATTGTTGTTGACGTCATCTGAGAGTCAGTCGAATATACATATAAATTGACACAGATTTTTCGTGTCGATCAGATTGATTCCAACACACGACCTTTGGTAATAAGTCGGGTAATAAACCACTAGTCTACGACTTTATCTCCATTTTCCTAATTCTATTTTTCAGCTTTAATAACTTCCTACGATGCATACGAAGAGCTTCTAGGCAAGTCGCAGAAAGGTCAGGAATTCTATAAGAAACTGTCACACAATGTGAACCAGCTTCTCACCCGACTGCGCAGCACGTGTCAAGTGCAGCAAGAGGAGCGAGCGCAGCTGCTGGCTAAACATAGTAGCAAAGGTAACTGTGCCATATACTAAACAAAATCGTAAAAAGTGGATTAATGTCCCCATTGCTAGCATCATGTTTCATGTTAGGTTGACCTCCACACATGTGGAGTTATAATGTTTAATAACATTATAAATTCATCAGGACGATTTGGTCCTGATGAATTTGCCATGATGGGCTTATTGACCTGGCGTTATGTTCATCTTGTCCTTTTATCATCAACGATTACGCTGGAGTGGTGGTCCCCTACAGGGCCACTCCAGCGTAAATCGTTAGCGCAAAGGGTGCACCATTCCATTATCATCCATAAAACAAAACTAATCATAAAAAAGTGGATGAATGGCAGTCCTTTACAGTGTTTTTCCAGAAACATGAAACGAAAAATTAAGTATTTAATACCTACGTAATAAATACTTAATGTATCTTGAGTTTTTTATTCTAATATATCGTATTATTTTGTTAAATTATAAGATACCAAATATACACAGAAATTATATATTTCAATTGCACCTTTCCAGAATCTACCCCCAGTCCCGTGCCGATAACATCGAGCGTCGCTAAGACTGTCGAGGTGGTTCCAACACCCACCACTGGCGGTCCCCGCAAACTGAAGGACTATCTGCCTTACATGAAGAACAGAACCATGACCTCCAGAGCCCAAGGTAAATATCTAATATCATGATTCTTTTTAGATTTCATTTGCAAGGTTTGTGTGAATTGAATAAATCTTTGCATCCTAATAAAGAGTAGATAATACTTGATAATATATTCTAAATAATTTTACAATTGACTCTTTCCAGTCAAATTATTGAATTTAATAACATTATAAATTTTATGCTTTTTATGGATGTAAGTTCAGTTAATGTATGTTATTAATCAATTAATTTATTTGTCTATTTGCACGCCAGATCCCTTAAGGGGAATAATAATTAATAATTACTTAAAATGCCTTAAAAGAGGTCTTAAAAATATATTTAAATGTAGCTTGCTTTTTTGCTTTGTTTGTATATTTATATTGTTTATTTTAATTCCAGTTGATGTCGTGCAACCTGATACATACTATCCTGAATCTATATACCCAACATCAGTGAGACCGACGCCCGTCGGGTCTGAAGGTGAGTCAAAACTGACACAAAATGACTATAATAGGTATTAGACAACAGATGCATCAATTACATATAAAATTTATATATTTAATTATTCATTCCTTTGTTGTTCAGCATGATGCCAACATTTTACCATCGCACCAACACGTCATCGACAGGGAATTTATCCCCACACGCTGAAACCTAACTGGTCTCGACCAGTGCGGTTTCAGAGGATCTTGCTCCCGCGTACACTTAGATTGTGGAATTAATTATCTGCCGAGGTCTTCTCGAGAGACTACAGCATAGGGTTTTTAAAGAAGGGTATATTAAGGTTTCTTAAGGTTCGGCATCGCACTTAATGTCTCAAGTGTCCATAGGCTATGGTAACAGTTTACCGTCAGATAGGGTGTATGATAGTTTGGTATCATCGTAGTATAAAAAAATTCAATAAATATAAGTCAATAAATTATGACAAAAAATATACAAAAAGTGGACTTAAAACACTGGTTACATTTAACCATTGTTTTAAGTCCACTTTTTGTATATTTTCACACACAATTGTAATTCTCATTTTGATACTGTTACTAAGTATCAGTGAACCTTCTAGAAATATGGAATAAAGCACAGTTATTTCTAATATTCTTCCTAAGCATTAAGAATGATTACCCAAAAATTCTCAAATAAATAAGATATAAGATATAAGAATAGTACATGGAAACTCAGTAACGAAAATAGTTTGAATACGGTTTGTTAACTATTACATTTATAATATTTCATTGTTTCAGCTACAGACATACCTCAGGCTCAGCTTTCAGATGGTGTTGTGGTCCCACAAGAATTACAAAATCCAAACAATCCATACAACCGATATGGCGTACCCTACGCGGCAACTGAAAATGATCCTTATTCCTCACAGTCTAATTACGGTTATCCCATGAAAATGGGCTATGAGAAACCCGAAGAAACCCAATATGGCTATAATACATCATACACTCCACCACAGTACTCTTCACAAGGCCTCGAACCTCAATCACAATACACAAATCCCTATTACTCAGCAACTCAAAACAACACTACTTTAGTAACAGACTCACAAAACTCCATGGCTTATAACAGCGTAAGCCAAACAAATATGCACTCTAATGTAAACCAATACGGTACATATAGCGATCAGTATATTCAGCACCAACAAATGACAGCTATACCCGAAGCGACATCATACACAACTCCGTACAGTCATAGTCAAGATTTAAGCGCGAACTTTGCTCAAATGCAACTGGCTACTCCCAAATCAGAACCAGTAAATCAACCAACTAATTACGGAGCTGACTATTCACAGACTTACTACAATGGTCAGTACCCCCAGACGTCTACGCCTAATGTTGCAACGTACAGCAATGCTCACAATTCTAACACGAATATGACGGAATCCCAAATCCCAGCTGATTACAGTTCAATGAACTATCCATACAGTACCGATACTCAATACCAACCAACTCCAAATGTATCCACTGCGTACAGTGCAGAACAGTATAGCTACCCCAATTATATAAACCCTGAATATCCCATTTATACAAATACAGACAGCACTATGACTTCGACAACTACTACTACAAACAACCCTATAAGTGTACCGCAGGCGTACAATATTCCTGAACAAGATGGCAATTATATCGACCCAGCAGTCCTCTCGCAATTAGATGCTATAGATAAGCCAATAAAATCGCACGTGACCGGCGAAGCTTTGTCTGCTGTGCATTTTCAAACAAACTACCAGAATATTCCTAACCCATCTCCCAGTTATAACCCGACCGTACAAAATACACAGCCGACTACCTCTTATCAGTATGTAGATCAGTCACAAAACAATTATAATCAGACATACCAAAACCATCCAGGTTACAATTATAACGCTGCGACAGGCGTATACGATTATAATTACGGATCTCAGAACTCCTTCATGGGGTATCCAAATTCAGAGCAAGCCAATGTAAACTCACAGACGATAGGGCAGAATCCAAATTGGTCTGCACAGGGTGTTTATACAAGTGCAGGCACGTGCGAGACAGTGCAATCACCGTCTGCAGAACAAGTGCCCCACACGTCAATAGAGCCATCTAGTAATAATCAAACTTATTACAATGCGCCGTACGGTTATCAAACTGTTCAACCAAATGAGACTGTGCCTAACTCTCAGCCTGAGACAACGAATTATGGTGCCGATATGAACCAGTCGACTTATATGCAGTGTGGGCAAGGACAAGACACAAGTGTTACTTTTAGTAATAATCAAGGTAAGAGTTTAATATAGCAATTGTTCTTAGTTATCATTCGCTTCTGGGAATATGTACCATTGTATTTTAACATACTGTTTATTATAAATTACATTCTTACTACTAAAGAATTTATATACACTTTGACTAATTTAGATAATATGCAATTTGGGTATGGACTATATGAGTTGTCTATCATAATTTTAGAAATTATATCTTATATATGTATACATATTGTATTAACTGTCTTTTGGCAGGTAATTTTGATAATTAATAAACTTACAAATATTTCAATTTAAGTTACCACTAATCTCATATTATTATAGCATTTGCATTTATATACTTGTCGATTATTATTATATTGTAAATAACAAATTAATAATAAAAAACTTTACAAAGAAAAACGTATTTTATTTATTTTTTCCTTTACAGTGACTACTCCAAAAGAGGAGATGACGCAACCTCAGTTTGATAATAGCATCCCCGAAACACCTATTGTTCCTACGCAAAAAGAAATTGAAACAAAAAAGGAACCGGAAACGCCAGTAGAAAAGTCAGAACCGTCTGTGTTCGATCTTCTCTCGGATATAGATTTTGCTGTGGAATATAAACCTCTAATGCCGGAAATAAAGGTGCCCCAAATATCTGAGAGTGCTATAAAAAAATCCACTGTGCCAAAGCCACTTCCGGTAGTTGCGCCGCCGCCTAAAGAGGAAGTGTTGGAGCGACCAGCGAAGGTGGATCTGTTCTCTGACCCGAGTTTACTGAACAAGTTCACCCAGGAGGTTAAGAATTTACAAAAATTAGTGGATTCGTTAACGGAGAAGACAACCACTGGATTGACGCTTTTGGATTCTAAGTGGAAGACATTCCAAGATGTACAGGTGAGTAATACTGGGAAATTACTATTTTTGTCACAACTGCTGTTACAGTATCTATTACTGATTTCATAGTTCTTGTCAATTTTAAAAGAATTTATAAATGGTTTATTAACGATATCTTAATGTACAAGCTGGTATGAAAATGAACGTTATACCTAGATATTGCATGACTGTTCCAAAGCCTGTCCAAAGAATGTCTACGGTCACTATAAAAATATATATTTCAGTCTAATATAATTATGAATCATAATTTTTGTCTACACAATGCACTGACGATAAAGTTATTAACGTATGGACTTATGCCGAAGTCATGATAGGATATTTACCCGATTCAGCAACTCCTGAAAAGGAGGTTTGGAGATATAGCGAGTGGGTTTTAGTGATTCCACTTTCCTCTGCCTGCAGCGGGTGAAGTCTGGAGGATTTTCCACACATTTAAAAAACTATAGCCCCTTTTTGATATCAGCAATGACATTTGCTGGAAGTTTAGATTATTCCTATATTTACTCTAAGGTTTTTATCAGAGTTTGTGTTTTCAGGCCAAGGAAAATATGACTAGATCGAAAACGATCGCAATGCAGCATTCTAGCGGGAACATAGTAACAGATGTAGTGCCTTTTGATGACTCAAGACTGACCCTCAAATCTGATCCAGATGCTTATTTCAACGTTTCCTATTATAGAGTTAGTATTTTATTATTTATTTATTTTGTTAACGAATAATCTTATGGTTAATAAACCTCTCTCGAAGTTTCGACTAGGTTACAGTAGCCATGGTCACGAGCTGACTGGAATTATAGCGATGTCAATGTAGATAGGCGCCAGTAGTTTTTCTTCTACCGTCACAAAATCGTCCAACTAAAGTTCGTGAACACAGTACTTACGGTATCTGTACACTTATTGACTGTTGATGTTATTGAACTTTGTATGAATTTATTTATGACTGGATTCCACGCAGATAATTATATTAAACAGGAATGTTAAAAGAAAATGTATTATCTGAATTTTAGATTAGACAGTTGTATTTTTTTTGTATGACAAGTATGGCATATGAAATCAGTTAGTTTAATTATTGCAGTTAATTATTGCCGTTACAACACGTATCAATGTGCTAGTACTTTGTTGCAGCAATTGGCATCCTGGTGCATTCCCCTACTAATTTCTAAAAACCCTGCCGAACAAGATTGGGAAATATTTTGGAGAGCAGTACTGGAGCACAAGATTGGGTGTATTGTGTGTTTGCTCAGTGAAATTGAGGTGAGTTCAGTATAACAGTTTTCAAGTATCATAGGTGTGTTTGTAGTTTTGATCATATTTACAGGCACTTCATTACATGGCAACTTGGTTGGAATTCCTATCGTTTAAAAAAACCACTACCTTGGAAACTACTCTTGGATTGCTTGTTTGCAATACAACTTTATATATACTGTTGTATAGGTTTAATGATACTGAATGTAGATGTGACCATGACAGTTCATTATACCTATACAACAGTATATATATTACACTTAATTGTAATCATCAGACAATTTTAGATAAAATGACAAATAAAAGTTTTGTCATAAACATGGTATGCACTCAAGATCAGCATTATTCCTGTAATTTTGTTGTTGTAGTAAGTGGCTACACATCTGACCCCTTTTTGACTACCTCTGGCGTACCACAGGGCTCTCACTTAGGCCCTTTACTCTTCAATGTTTTCATTAATGACGTGGTAAAAAGTTTTCATCATTCGGAATGCTATCTTTTTGCTGATGATCTCAAATTAATGAAAAAATTCAGTCTACTGCTGATAATGAACTACTACAAGCAGATTTGGATAGGTTGGTTGATTGGTGTGAGCATAATGGTATGGAACTTAATATTGATAAGTGTTGCTATGTTCAGTTTAGTAGGAAAACAGATATAAATACATACAAATATAATATAAATGGAACTGATCTTAAAAATGTGAGCACTATCAGGGATTTGGGTATTATTCTTGACTATAAATTAAGATTCAATGTACACATCGATAATATTGCTAATAAGTCTAATAAAATGCTTGGTTTTTTGCTTCGCAATAGTAAGGAGTTTAAAAACCCACAGACAAAAATTTGTCTATATAACGCGTTTGTTCGGTCACACCTTGAGTACTGCAGCGTAGCTTGGAATCCACACTATGATATTTATACTAAGCGTCTCGAAAGGGTTCAAAAGAGGTTTCTTTGGCATTTAACTTATAGCTGTAACCTAACGAGGAAGTTGCCGCACTACTCAGACAGACTCAAATACTTTAAATTGAACCCTCTAACTGTAAGAAGACAAGTACTAGATATTATGTTTCTTTGGAAATTAGGGAATGGCATATTGAACTGTTCAGAGTTGTTGTTTAAAGTTAATATTCGAATACCACCTAAACTCCCTAGACCTGGTAAATATAATATATTTATAGAAAATCTCGCACGAAGTAATTTGGGCTTCTACTCACCTTTAAACAGGCTAATGAGAACTTATAACACTTATTCAAAGAAACATTCATCAGTTGACATATTTAGTAATAGTTATTGCAAATTTCGCAGATGTCTCAATAGTATCATAAGTTCTAGTTGAATCAGTACAGGTTTTATATAGGTAGAATTTTAAGTTGTTTTTTATGTTTTGTTAATTGTTAATTGTAAGCACAAATTTGTCACATAAATGTCGTAGTTGCCTATAATTAAGGTTGCGCTTAGTATAAATAGATTGTAATGTAATATATATAATGTGTAAGTGTAAACCTTGTTGGTGACCTAAATAAATAAATAAATAAATAAATAAATTTCTCTTGTCATGCAACCACTTATAGTTGGCCCCCTAGGTTATAAGAAAATAATCTATACTAATGCATGAAGCGTTGGTTTGTTTGGTTGAATGCACTAATTTAAAAAACTACAGGTTCGAATTGAATATTTTATTTAGTGTTGGTGAATTGTCCTGAGATATTATTATTTATTACATTATATTTCTCATCAGGTTCAAGGTAAATCGTATTGGCCGACAGCCAGAGGTCAGTCCTTAGACTTACCAGGCGGCCTCAAGGTGACGCTAGAAGAAGTGACGTGCACTGTTCACTGGACGGAGAGGAAACTGACTGTCACACGTGGCAAGACCGCTTTCAATGTCACACATTACCAGATCAACGTATTTCCTGCTAAGTGAGTATCCTGAAGGAACTTTCGTAAGCTAAGACATTTTATGAAATTCAACTAATAACGGCCTACCTGATGGTAAGTGGTAACTGTCACTTACATACATGACCACCGTTGCGGACATTACGTCATCATGTGACACATGTTTTAATGAAACTTTACAATAATATAGCTTATATATCAGAATAGCACATGGGATATAAATTTCACGCGGGTGAAATCGCGAGCACAGTTAGTAGATTATAAATAATAAGGCACACACTAATAATAAGGTACACATAAAAAAATATGGTGTTACTTACAATATTTTAGGATTATGTGCACACCCCTGGTGTTCTGGGCGGTAAAGCTTCTTTATACCTTATGTCTAAGGATATGAGGTATAATATTCTTCTATTTATATTGCTCTGCATAAAGTGATCCTAATTGCATATTTCTTTAGATTTTACCCGCTTCGGCTTTGCACGGGTGTACATATATTATACATATAAAATCTTCCATTTGAATCACTCTATCTATTGTTAAAATTTGCATTATAATCCGTTTCGTAGTTGAAAAGATCTAAGCGAATAGACAGTGGAAGCGACATTAATTTCTAGTATGTAAAGATAAATTATATTGTAAACTAGCTGTTCCCGCGACTTCGTCCGCGTGGAATTTAACTTTATTTTTCTAAAATAAAAGTAGCCTAAGTTACTCCTTATTACATCAGTTACCTGCCAAGAAAAGTCCCGTCAAAATCGGTCCAGCCATTTCAGAGATTAGCCGGAACAAACAGACAGACACACAGACAGACAAAAATTGCAAAAAATGATATTTTTTGGTGTATGTGCCGTATATATTATTCATATGCATGTACTAAAAAACGGTTATTTTAATATTAGAAACAGACACTCCAATTTTATTTATATGTATAGATGAATACGATACGATAATTCGCCTTACTACACAATAAAATATTTTAGGATCGTGTGTTCGCCCCTGGTGCTGTTGGCGGACAAGATCCTGAAGCAGACGTTCGACGGGCGGCTCAGTAACCAGGTGGGAGCGGCGTGGCTGCACTGCAGTGCAGGCGCGGGTCGCTCCGCTCTGCTGGCGCTACTCATTATGATCATGTGTCAAGTGCGAGCCGGGCAGCTCAATCTAGTCGGTCAGTATACTACTAATTATAGTCTGACACTGGTCTTCTGCACCCCTTTAAGGGATGAAGGTTGGGGGCCTTCAGGCAAAGATGCCGGGGAAAAGGGCCCCCGGCATTAACTCCAGGGACAACAACCCCAGGGCAGTTGAATTTATGTGTCTTAGAGCTTACTTAAAAAACTAACATGTATACAATTAAAGTAAACTTAACCTAATTTAAGAAGTAGTGCCATACTTGGGTAAAATATTTTTTACAGTTTCTTTTTTCTTTTTTTTATAGTTTAATCACAAAGTCTATTCGATTCACGATTATAATCATTAATAGAAATTTCAATTGTTTTCCCACTTGGTTTGGACGATAGAAAGAGACAACGATTTTTGTTCATGATTATTTTAACAATTTTCATATTACAATACAGATATGCTGGATGTGGGATGCATCAATTTATACAAACACAGAACTAATATATTAGAAGATACCAAATATCTGGCGGACGCTTACAGAACTGCTTTGTTTTATGTACAAGGAGTGCTTTGTTCTGGTGAGTATTATATTTAGATTATATCTAAGATTTTGTGAATGTTCCAAAAAAGGAATGGATGGACGGATGATATGGTGAGAATGGGAATAAATAATGAGATGACTGCGAACAGTGATTAATGGAAGAGAAAAACATATTACGCCGACCCCAAATAAATGGGATAAGGAAGAAGCAGATTCCGATTTCTCGCATGATATATGATCACGAGGAATCGAAACACCCAGACCGATACGAGCAATAATATATTGTTCGTATCTGCCTGATATATAGGGTGTTGTGTAGGTGTTATGTATTTGTTGTAGTTGTATAGTACCCATAAACAAGCTCTAGCTTAATTTGGGACTAGACGGCGCTGTGTGAATTTTCCTAATATATTATTATTATTAAGAATTTAATATTGATAAAAAATGCAGAAATTATATCATGACGTCCGTGGTCTAAACAAACACAATAATTCATTAGGCACCGCTATGTTTAATGGCGAAGCTGTCTCAGTACCGTCGGGAGCGTCGGTGCTACCGCCAGTGACTCCCACGCCAAATGTGGCGACGTCTAGCGGCCAAAAGCAGAAGTTCTCGCGAGAATCATTTGAGGAGATGAAGCAGTCACCGGGCCTGAAAAGCGGCGACATGAAAGACCCTCTTAACTTCCTTGATCCTCTGTGGAGTTTGAAGAAAAAGTGAGTGCACCAAATTTCTTGGATCACTCAAAAATTAAGGTGATATGTTATATTTAAGGTAATTCATTTGGATATACTTCATGTTTAGTATTAATAGTACCTGGTTATTGTGGTCGCGGATTAAAAAAAACTGTTTACATCTGCAATTATATATTATACAATTAATTTGCTATATAAAAAATTGTGGCGTACTTTATAGACAATGTAAATCTGTTTTGTACCTTATGCTTAAGGATATACGGTATATTCTCTTAATTACAGTGCTCTCCATATTATGATCCTTATTGCATATGTTTTAGTCTTTATTGAATAGATTATAAATAAATACGATAATTCGCCTTAATACACATAAGAAAATATATTATTTAATTTTATTGTATTTAGAGATCTCAAATTATTTAGTACACCAATAATATTTGTTCTATTTATAAAATAAAAAAACACATGTAAACAAGTTTTTCGGTACTGGTTTGTATTTGATACAGTCCGAAATAGAATTTTATTATCTTCAATAATATTTAAAATTTTACCAACTATACTGTACGTTTGTAAAGAAAAAAAATTAAAACGGAAATTTTAATAAAAAGAAAAGATAATTTCGTGTAAAATTTACAATATAACTACCAGATGCAATCATGCGCTCGTCTTGATCAGAAAATAAATTTTGCTAATATGTTCATGTTGATTACATTTTGATTTCAAGTTAGTGCACCAAAAGAAAAAAAAATAGTAAAAATACAACGTTTGTAAATATAAGCTGTTATTTCTAGGCCAATCCTTTTTGATAGCATTAGGAGAAACAACATCTTTTAATATAATGTTAATATTTAAAGAGCAAGACTTTGGTTTGGGACCGTTTTAAGTCTCATTTTCCAAGAATAGTATAATAATTATATAAATTAACTATAAAAAAAATAATTCATTTATTGCAGCTATGGATCCTCATTGCTTATTAATAAGGTTTATAATTGCGTACGATTAATTGCGATTTTAATAATGTCTATCGAAATTATTAGCAGAACTATGTACATTTGGATATATGTACAGTTATAACAGAAATTATATAAATACTTTAGTACCTTGTCAGGATGATATTATTGCTAAAGCCAAATATTTATAAACACTACAAGTAAATTGTTATTGTGACAAGGTACAGATGTACATTTGCTTTGATTTTGCCACGATAACACCACGTGGTGATAATGTGGATTTTTTACCATTTGCGGTTAATGACTTACGCAGATTAATGGATTAATACTTAAATTTTATCGCCTTATTTAATTGGTCGGACAAATAAATACGTTCAGGAATGTCCTTTTATTGCTATTGCTTTTTATACATGGTGTTGTAGATGCTTACGTTACAGGTATTTCAATATTGTGAAATACCGCAACGCATCGCATAGCGCCGCGTCGTAACGCATTCATTGAGGTGGCTACCTTAACCTTTCAACTGTTATCTGTCAAAATGACATTAACGCCCTATCTGTGTGACCAATTCACGGCCTCGGTGGTCTAGCGGTATAGGTCGCCGCTTTTCTTCCGATATTCGCGGGTTCGATTCCTCGCACGATACAAATATTTGTATTCATGAGTCGTTTGTATCGGTCTAGGTGTTTACCTAATTTTTTTTTGTACATAACATACATAGAGTATGTTATGTACAAAAAAAAATTAGGTATTTATATCAGTTGTGTAGTACCCACAAACTGCTTACCGTGGAGCTAGATGGCGCTGTGTTAGTTGTTCAGGGTTATTTTAATTACAGTACTTCTCACAGATGGGGATGGATATAGTGTCCGAGTCCAATAATTGGCTCCTTCGCAGATGAGAGGTTAATTCTACTGCATTAACGGAAGTTTCTGTGCCTAACTTTTAATATGACCATGTTATTTCGTATCACGGTATATGTACAGCCTTGGCCAAAAGTATTAGGCACTCTACATTTTACTAAAAATAATAATAAAAAACAACTTATACTTTTTGAATTGATTTATTACTATTAAATTACACAAAAAAGAATAAAAAAAACTTAAAATCTAGTCGGTCCTTCTTTGGATTTAATTACTGCACTAATTCTAGTAAGCATGCTGCGTACAAGCATAGTGCAATCCTCCCTTATAATGACATGCCATTCTTGTACTAACGCATTTTTAATGCCGTTTTCGATGTGGTACTATGCTCTCTAATCTTGCGGTTCAAAATGCTCCAAAGATGCTCAATTGGGTTCAAATTTGGGGACTGCGCCGGCCAATGAAACAAGACAATGTTGTTTTCAGTAAAAAAAATATCTAAGTCGCTGACTTATGACAAGGTGCATTGTTTTGCTAGAATATGACTCCGTCTTGTTGGTATCGCCGAAAATACTCGTTAGCAAAGGTATAAGCGCAATTTCATGCACTTTTATATACTTTTCGCTGTTCTTATGACCTTCACAAACAAACATTTCGTCAACCCCTTGAGCATCCATGCAGCCCCAGATCAATATGCTGCCTCCTCCGTGCTTTACCGTCGGTACAACGCAATCTGAATGGTATTCTTCGCCCACACGTCGCCTCACGAAGGTCACACCTGGCGTTCCAAATATCTGTTGAAAAAAGAAAATAAAGCGTTTTTTTAAACTACCCTAACCCTTTATTATTTCAGTAAAATAAATAGCTGACCATGATTATTAATAACAAAAGCAGTAAAATTTACTTACTTCAAAGTCAGATTCGTCAGATCACACCACATTGGCCCAATTGAGGAACACTAATATGTCAATGTCGTAGAGTCAATTCAAGCCGTTTTCTTTTGTTGTCTTCTGAAAGCCAGAGTTTCTTCCAAGCTTTGTATCCTTTTAAGCCCGTTTCTTGAAGTCGTCTTCTGGTGAACCGAGCACTTTTTGGCTTTCCAGCCTCTTCGGACAAAGCAGTAGCAAGGTTTGATGATATTTTCTTCCGATCTTTCATAGATTCGCGTATTAATTTTCTATCCTCGTGCTTCGAAGTCACACGTTTTCTGCCTGTTCTTGGATTATTAGCATGACTGCCAGCCTGAGCAAACCGTTTGATGGCAAATTGTACGGCGCAACGCGAACATTTCACTAACTTAGTAATTTCTTTTTGCGAATTCTCTGTTCATGGAGAAGTTATATTTGTACTCGATTTTTCAAACTAATTTCACTTATTTTCGGTATTTTTAAGTAAATTACGCATCAATTTAATCACTGAGTTAGAAATAAAAACTTGATTACTCGTTAAGAGTCTTAAATACAAGTGACAAAACATTGACTAATAATAACGCAAAAGACCAAATCCTTTCTTTTCAGTCACCAGGTGTTTTATGACCATAAAAAATAGATGTTTGCTTTTCTAGGAAGGTATTTGTGACCCCGGTATGCCATCTAAGATAATTTATTCATTGGTCAATTGGTAAATATGAATTGTGCATTTTTCTGGGGTGCCTAATACTTTTGGCCAAGGCTGTATATTGGAGACAATTGTATTAAATTAGTTTACATTCCTATTGTTTAACATTATATTTATTTCTTTATGTTAGTATTATATCATACCCTTATAATTAAGTTCATGAACACTGTCAGATTGTTACAGCTACTGAAGTGAACAAACTAGACTTAATGCAAAGTATTATCACAATTTGTCAAATTTAGAATTTTATCACATTTATTTATAGTTATAGATATTTTACTAGTACTCATTAAAATTAATTGGACTGAAATATTGTCGTTTTTTTTCTAATCTTATCGGTATTTTATACTGATTTCGTTACTTAACTCATGATAATAATGCTTAAGATAATGATGGGACGATTTAGCGAATGGTCAATGGCGAATTTACTATATTTTGCGTTGTATCTGGGTCTCAGACTTATTTACTTTTTAAGGAAACTACAGTAATATATCTTGGATAATTAACTATTTATATACATATTTATATTGTTTATCAGTCCCGCCTAGTGAGATTTGGTTTCAACAGGCATTTTTTATTTTGGCTATCCTCGTAATTACTGATATAAATAATGAGGTGCCCTCATTATTTATAACTCTTTATTTTACTTTTGAACTAGTAACTCCCATTGCTGGCAATGTATCATGTTAGATCGACCTCCACGCGGTTCCCCCTGGAACCCATGAGCTAACTGACCTGACTTCATGCTCATCTTATCGTCCTCCACTGGTGCTCCGCCAACGTAAACCGTTAGCGCAGACGGGCCACCGTTCCACCACCATTATCATACCTACAAAAAAATCTTTACTGGTGTAACTGCTGAAGTAGGTAGCATAGCACGAAACTGCAGTAAAGAGCGTATAACTGCATCTGCGACGGTTCTGATGACGGATATATAGGATATACGGACGAGTAAATACACGGTCGCAAAATGTACTGACGAGGGGATGACTTGTTATTCTTGAATTAATCCTGAAATCCTGATGGTTAGTTATCAGGATTAACCAGGGTGTTATGAATTTATACAGTATAATTTCTCTGCCTTATAGTTCTTCATACATAGGATTGTAAATTACTTTACACCGTAACATTTTCTGTAAATCATGTTGTGTGGCTGTAAAAATAAGTGAGACAGAATCACCCACGCATATTAAGTCTCATGGAGTGCTGAAAATATAAGGAGCACCAGTAGGAAGTAGTTCCGGGTTAGAGGGCTTCCGCGGAGGCTGTAGGGTTGGTGCACTCGCTGAGATCGAGCGGGCGACTGTCTGCCCGCCCTGCCAGTTCGGCTCGCGCCGCCGCTGTGTTTACACGTATAGAGGTCATGTTTCAACGCGGCCGCGCACGCGCTCTTGCGACGCCGCGATCGTAACAACGCAACCCTACAAAACATTTATAAAAAAAAAATAATCTCGTACCACCCGCTTTGTGAACGAAAACATAGTGACAGTGACGTTTCGGGGGCAGACGGTGACAGTGAACCGATACAATATTGTTTGAAATTAATTAAAAATTAAATGTGTTGAATAAAATTTTCTGTGTTCAGTGCTGTGACCGATCTAAATTGGTGTAGCGATCGATCTGTATCGCAGTGTAGTGTTGTGAACTGGTTTCTTGGAGATGATGGGTATGCCAGCTGGTTAAGGGGATGATGCGCAAAGAAGGAGCCGGCGCGACCGGCGGCACGGAGTACGCTTTGGACGCTGCTGATTGTATATCACTGCAGCAGATTCTGCAGGCGTTCAACTCGACGATAAGCGAGGAGCATGCTTGGGCACTGTTCTACCAGACGTCCCGGTGCTACCAGAAATGCCTGGCGGACGGGTCCACCTGTTATTTACCCACAGAGCCGAGACATGTGATAATACATAAGGATGGTAGCGTACACCCGACCACGTTCCTACACCCCGGAGGTTTGTAGATTATTTTGTTTTAGTTTACTTCCTCAATATGATAAAAAATATATGTGGCACTTCAATTGTTTTCGAATTATAGCGTAAGTGTTATTAATATAATATATTTCTCGTATAAGTTACTAATATTTTTTTAACAATATATACTTATCATGACGTAGCCTGTAATTATCATAGTTCTATAAACAGCAGTTCTAGACAATATATTCCGGTCGTAGACATAGTTAAAGTGTGGAAATTATAAGAAGCATTGACCGTTTAAACCTGAAAGTTCATTGTATATTTTTGTATATCATTAATTACTTAGTGACGAAATCAGTGGATAGAAGTGACTTCCTAGAATTTGTTGTCTCTTATAAAACAATGCAACATTTTTTTATATTATAAAATATTATAATTTGAATATCTACTTGCGTAGAGATTGCCGATATTTTCCATAGATAAACAATGACCTTGTGATATCAAAAACATTATCATTATGCCTTAACTAGATATAACGATATGTTTTTAGAATTATATATGTATATATACCTAGCACGTATACATATTTAATATGAAAACGTCACGGAAAACCTTTGATCAGATTTTGGTTTCATATCAATTCAAGTCGAAGAAAATGTACTTAATACACTTTAATGCACTTATATATACGTAGGTAGCTATTTACCAAACAAAGCTGTTAGGTATTAATATCTAATCAGTTAGATTCTCCCCGTGTTGAAATACTGTTTCCGGATATCAGTTTGTACTTTGGCAAGATGAGAATTCTTATCAATAGGTAAAATATTGATTGAATAATAGATCGAAGTCCGAGAAGAAAGTCGTATTTTTGCGACGGCTCGATCTTACGGGATTTGAATTCCCACAACGGAACCTAGTACATTTCTACCTGTATTTCCTGAGGCGGCCACGCTCTGCAAAAATAGGCATGCATTATCTGAAATAGGCAAAGAATAAATAAACGTGTAATATCAAGGCTAGTTTTCTAAATAAAACACCTACACGTCTTCGTTAAACGTTGTCATTGTCAAAAGCCTACAGGCGATAATTTCGTCTATTCAATGTCATTTCCGCTATTCTTAACAACAGTTTATAGGTTTTCGCTCCATTGAAATACACTTTTATATAGACGTCTAAACTAATATTCAAAGAGGATTACATTTTTTGTCTGTAATTGAAAAGCTCAAAAATACTTTACTTTCACCTGAGAAAGCAACAATGTCAGTAAGTAATGTACTGCAGTTTAATTTACAAATATATCTGGATTCCCCAGCATAATTGCACCCATGCGAAGGAGATGGGTTACTAGTATTTTATAAAAACGCAGCATTACATATATACGTAAGTAGGCATTCACTCCAGAACTTTTGTTGCATTCTGTTGGTACGGAAGAAGACGGGAAGTGTTTATTGCAGAGCAGTGTTGATATACAATATACCAAATCTTTGTGATAACAAATCTGATAGGTAGGCGAAACAAACTAAGAAGCAGTATGGAAACTTTATAACACCTTCCAATGTGTATATTGTGTATTATCCTCCACTCTCGAATTGTTGAGCACCAAGATTCTATCGCATTATCTCATTTCAGTTTTCTTGTTATCCAGAAGGTTCTATTTAGAAATACCCACGCTACCTCTAGAACACTTTCTGCTCCCAAACCCACTTATTCCGTAAATATGAAACTTACGGAATTTTGAGGTGTTTTAAAGGTACCTACTAATAGTGAAAGTTGCGATCTTCTCTACTGCCTCTGTATATTGCTGCATATTCCTAAAAGTTACATTGTTAAAAGTGCGTGAGTACTTCAGTCTCACCTATTTCAGCCGCCAAGAAGCTTGTAATCTGTGTTTTGGTTGTAGGGTGCAGATTAGGCAGTGATATTACAGGGCTTGACATTTCAATCCTCTGTGGCAAAGCGTGAGTCGTATCACCGGTACCACATGATAACGTCAAGTCCATGTATATAGTTGGTGGATACCGCTTACATTCAGGTGTGCTTCTTTACCATTCCAAATACATAGACAATATTGTACAGGTTATCTGCGACGTATATAATTGTGCTAGTACATATTACTATGTCAACACGCATATCTAATATAAAGTCACATTACAATTCTACCGCTTTTTCATCGACTCTCGCATCAACCAGCTCAATCCGCATCATCATATCGTGCTCTTGAACATCAACGACACAGGTTTTTCATTGATTACGTACAACTTTTTGTAGGAACGAGATTTATATGCGAGCACATTATTGTTCTGTCAATCGGTTCGTCGTTGTACATTGAGAACGGTGTGGGAAACGGGTCTCCAAGTCTTGATCCCGGAAAAGTTTTTGCCGAGAGAAATTCTTAAATAGATTTATCAATATTGAATATATACTTTCCACGACGTCATGTATGTACCATAAATGTATTTTATGTAGTTTTTTTACTGACTACAAAAAGCTAGGTTATCATTTAGTATGTATGCTTTTTATACACGTGTTTCTTTTAAGATGATGATACAGTCTTCATATAAACTCGCTTAGCCAGTATAGTATCTGGGAGTATAGCACTGTAAATCCTTAGGAGTGGCAATGATTTATAAGAATCACTGAAATCAAAATGAGTTTTGTGTGTATGTGTTGATTTTTATGTCTATAGACGACTAGGATTCCAATTACCAATATTTCTTCGTGTGTGCCGTCAGTTTGTTTGCCCTTCCATAGAAAATATGTTATTTGGTCCGGAATAATCAGATGAAATATTTAAATAAATGAAACTGGTCTAATAATAGATGTTTGACTTTTTTATAAATGAGAGGGGTGTGTAGCTGTCTACATTATTCATGTTCCTATAAAGTATTTTCTTATAAACTTTACGACAAAGTAAAGGGAGGTGGGCAATAAAGGCGTATCTGATTTACTTCTATACTTTACTGTGAAGTAACTGTATTATCAGACGATTTCTCTTTTATTATAGCGATTAGTATTGTAAACTAGATTCTTCTAGCTGTGACCGGTACGAGGCGCTCTGTATCGATCTTTTAAAATTTATGGTAAAACATGACACACTTAATATCGTAAACTATGTTAAATATATTCGATGCACTTATAGTATCGTGATATTTTATTTCAGATAAATTATTGTTTGTTTATCACTTACTCTCTTTGGCTATACATTGGCGGCCTCGTTTGTTAATAGTCAGATCCATTGATTGTCAATCGGTTCAATATAAAAAATGAACTTTTTCAAAATCAGTTCAGTTCTGGGTGTTCTGGTTAACGTATCCATTATTTTAAAGGCTTATTAATATAGATAATTTATTTTAACGGCTAGGCCCTGTCAAAATATGTTCTAGAGAAAACTCTGCTAAAGGATCTAGTGTGTTGCTTTTAGTAGAATGTTCTATGCGATTAGTATGAAAGTTTAAATTCGTGTCACTGGCAATTTATTGCTGTCCGACCTGCAAAACAGATTCCACCGTCGAAAACCAGAAGCGGTACTTTTGACACCATCGAATAAAATCAATTTACATAGGAATCCTTTTTACACGACGTCAATAAATGGAATCGTTCACAGAAACGCTTCCGTCGACAAAAAATGTTGCTAGTTGATCACAATAGGCTACAACCTTTTTTTTTTCGATATTAATATCAACCTTATTGGATTGGAATAGGAGTTCTTTGGGTTATAGAGTTGCCTCAGTGTTCCTTTTTCCTAGAAGTGTTGCTACCATGCTACAGGTACCTACATGAGAGTTCCACTGACACCTTATATTTATTCTATCATCAATAAACAGGCAAACAGCTTACCTGTTATTCGCAGAATGACTATATTAGTATAAATGTTCCGGTGAACCGCAGAAGAAAAGCTTGATTTGACATTCTAATTGATTGTACTTATTGTGTGCAAGCCAAAGATTATCAATTTTATGATATTTCTATTTGTTAGTGTGATTTTTTTTTCTTATGGATGATAATGGAATGGTGCACCCTCCTGGGCTAACGGTTTACGCTAGCGGGGCACTAGTGGAGAATGATAAGATGAACATGCGGTCAGGTCAATTAGTCCATCGTGGCAAATTTGCCATGAAGTTATCATGATGGATTCCAGAGGGAACACTGGGAGGTCAACCTGACATTGCTAGCAATGCAATACAATGCAATGGGGCTATTAGTATACATTACTAACAACTCCCTTCCCTCATTAGTGTGATATTTAAATATTTGAAGTCTAATTATATCACACCTAATCTAAATCAGACATTATAAAAAGTCAGCTTCATAAGTTGATAAGTTGATTTTGCGTTTATCTATAATATATAAAAGGCTAAAAGACGAATAACTGCTATTTAGTTGAGTTTGTTTGAAGCTCAATCCTGTTCAAAACTCAAGATTTCGATGTCGGTATGACTATGTAATATTATGTTATCTGTGGTATAACTAAATAACATATAGATATTCTGAAGTTTCTTTTAATAGAACTAGGTACTAACAAACGAACATAAAATAAGCTTTATGCGGTATTTGCAACTTAAGGTCATTTTGCAAGATGTTTCTTCGTTTAAGTAGATAATATTACTTATAATTGACTATTAAGTGAATAATACTCCTACCTACACAAGTGTGGCTTTATTGCAGTATGTTGCGACACGCATGCGACACAGTGTAACTAATTGATGAAGTCAGCAATTTGTGGGGGAAATACATATAGGGGAAACAGTACAGTTATTGGCCCCTTTACAGTTATTAGCCATTTCAACTTTACTGCCAAAAAACTAGCAACATCCTATACAAATAGTAGATTTGAAATCTGATTAATGGTGACAATTTTATTCTCTGTCTAAAAGTTTCAACAAAATTCCGCTAGATTATTTGGTTCTATTCCGATGTGTGATTTTTTGCTGGAGGAACAAAATCAGGTGAGTATGTTAAAAAAATATTAAGACTGCATTTATTTTTTTGTGCGATATTTTGAAATGTGTATGTAGTCAGTCCGTTATGTAAACTTGATA